ACACCATTAGTAAAGTCTTCTCCAGTACACCTTGTGTTACACCATTAGTAAAGTCTTCTCCAGTACACCTTGTGTTACACCATTAGTAAAGTCTTTCTTTAAGTTCAGCTGCAATAATCTTGTCATGGAAATCATCAAGTAGACTTTGTTGGTCATGCATTATGCAGGACATCAAGCAAAAAATCCCCACTATGGAGGCACAGTACAAGATGGTTACGCGAAATACCCAGTTGCTGACCAAGGACACTTCCCAGGAAGAAGTCACGCAGATGCTGAGCGTCATGGCAACCATCAAGGAACAGCTCTGCAAGGTGACAGATCAGCCTGCTTGCTTCTCTGTCGGATTAATCAATGGTTTGCATGATTCTTGGCAATTAGTACTGCTGCTTCAAGTACTTTGGATCATTTTTTTTATGTTTAATTAACTTTAGAAACCTGTGGGACTGACAAGGTGCTTTCTGTACACATACCATCTGGCCAAAATTAGATTATACTTCTATGATAAATGTTTTAATAATCTGGTATCAGCTTTGACTGAAAGCTCAATGTTCCACACCAGATTCAGTTTTCATTTTAATTATTAATAACGAGCATTAATTTGACAGGAGTACAGACAGACGATCTGGTTGTATGACGTTTGAACACTTTACAGCAGTGTTTCCGAATCCAGTCCTTGGGGACCTGCAGACAGTCCATGTTTTTGCTACTGGAGGCTGGGAGGTAGCAAAAACACGGACGGCCCGTGATTCCCCGACGGCTTGGTTGGGAAACACTGCCTTGAGCTTAGAATTCAGCATGATCTGGTTACAGACTCTTTTCTCAGACTGAAAACAGGATTCAGACCCAAATATGCTGTCATGCATCTTTCGTCTTACCTTTAGTCGCTGCAGTGCACTGGGCTCACGGCCGGCCCAAGGCATAAGCAAACTAATTGGCTTCTTATGGCCCAGCGGCCACCAGGGGGCCCCCCATTTGAAGGAAGATGACAAATGACAACTAGGTCAATCACATTTTAGGCAGGGGCCAGAAAAGGGTTGGGCCAGCTCTGATTGGACTGGCTGCTTGGAACTCCTGGAAGCCCCTCATTGTGCTTCCTGTGGCCCCTTTCAGATCAGGGAGAGGTGTCTTCCTTTGCTGCGTGAGTCCCAGTCGCTGCTCCCCCTTCTGGAGGAGAACGAGAAGCAGATCACCAGCTTCTATCAGTCCCTGGAGAAGGCCTGTCGGCTGCTGTCCAACCACGATCCCGAGTCTCCGGTCGACTTTAAGCAGAAATGTCAGGTACAAAAACACGCACTAATAGCTTGCTTTCAAAATCGACTCTCCGATTAATGGGGCTTAATTAATAGTGTCATCTATCCATTTAAAGTTTCCATCACCTTATCCAGCTAAGAGACCCAGGGGGGGTTTGGAGCCTGTCCCAGGCAGGGCAGGGCACAAGGCAGGGGAACACTCTGGATGGGCTGTTAAATGCAGGTCACACACATACACAGGCTCTCTCTCTCTCTCTCTCTCTCTCTCCCTCTCTCATACACACACACACACACACACACACACACACGTTTGTATTCATTGCCTTGTGGGGACCATCCATTAATTTCTGTGGGCAATACCCTAATTCCATCAATGACCTTAACCTCTACCCAGCCCTAACCTTAACCATAAGTAACAACAAAATACAAGATGTTTACATTTTTACATCTTTGATTGCATTCACAGACCTTTGTGGCGACCTGAAAAATAGTCGCCACATCGTCAAAAAATCAGGTTTTTATTACATTAAGGGGGACATTTCGTCCCCACAAAGTAATAAACCTAATCCACACACACACACACACACACACACACACACCCACCATTTGGGGTGGCACAGTGGTTGACCGTGTTACATCACACCTGTGGGACCTGGGTGTGAGTGTTTGCTCTGACTCCATTTGAGTGGAGTTTCTATGCTCTTCCCATGTCCTCATGCCCCCTTGTCAGAGACCAAAAACACGAAACTGTGTGTATATTAATGGTGTGTGTGCCCTGCAATGACTTGGTGCCCCATCCTGGGTTATCCCATGCCTTGCGTATGTAGCTTCTGGGATCTGAATCCTTACAACCCTGAAAAGGACCAGCATGGATGGACAAAATATTAAATAAAAACTGAGTATCCTGAGTGAACCCACACAACATGGGAATATCATGCACAGGGCAGAGTGTGTGGGACTCGAACCCCCAACCATGAAGGAGGCGTTACCCACTGACACCCCTTAACAAAGTAATTTAATCACATTTAGTCAGAACTTGAATTCAAACCAGCAAGTGTAAACTAGCAAAAAAAAATTTACTATAAAAAGATTTTCTTCATGTACTGACCAAGGCAAACATCTAGAACAAATATTGTGAAATATTGCTTTCGTTTTTCACACATACATGTGTACAGATTTAGTCTAAACAGAGACACACTTTTTGCACCGTCCCTAGTGACCTGACGGAGCTCTGCAGCTGCCAGATGATGGTGCACGCAGCTTCTCATACCTCATTTTCTCGCACTGCGTCCCGGTGAAGCTCAGATTAATTAAAAGTTGCTAAAAATATAAAGCGCTGCGTGGAAATCAGTTTTGTGCCTGTCCCAGCTTGTTTTGTTGATAGCTAGTTTCTGTTGGTGTAGATTTTTTTTTCCTGCAAAGGAAAAGTGGTCAGTAGGGAAGCTAAATATTTAAATACATTTTTTTGTTGTTGACATGGTCCTGAAAGACATAGAAATAACTGCCTTCAGCAGGTGATTTAAATTGCATAATGACCGAGGTTATTTGGGAAATATCCTCGGTCATTCTAGTAATACAGCTTCCAGACATTAAAATTCATGCTTTTGGTCCAGCTACTTCGGTAAGGAAAACGATTTAGTATGTTACTGGTAATGTGGTCAGTGTAGAAAACTTGCCGCATTGTATATAATATATCATAGAAAAACAAGCTGGCAAAATTCTTCAGTGATTACGGTAAATCAGTGTTTCTGGGAAAACTGGCCTGACAGTGAGGACAGGATCATGTGATCGGGTGGTGGGGGGAGGGGGGCACGGAAAAAGGACTTCAGTTTAATTGTATTTCCCCTGGGTGAAGAAGCAGGAAGGAGAGATGGCTAGACAATGGAAGCAGGGGAAAAAAAAATCAAACGGTTGTCTAGGACAAACAAGTTTCAGTTCTGGCAGGAAGTGGGAAATCCAAGCACACTCTCAGCAATGAGTGATCAGGAAGGTCAAAGAGGTCACCGCTTTCGCATCTTACAGAAGTAAAAAATCATTGCATGTTACTTATTGTTTATGAGTAAAACTGTGAAACCAAATCACCTTTGAGGTCCCATTATCTTTTGGTAAAGTGCTCTCTGCACGCTGCAGCCTTCAGAGAATTCAGAGGCTTCTTGTACGATGTGCTCGTCCTCTTATTCCGCTTCAAAAGCTTTGAAAAGCCTGTTTTTCAGAGAGCTTCTTGCGCTTCTCGGCCCGGCAGGGGTCCCTGCTTTTGCCCGACTCGTAAAGAACGGCTGAATCGACAGATCAGCCACACAGCAGGCCTTCCGATTGGGCGTGGAGAGGGCGCGTCCGCCGTGGCAAAGGGTGCTCGGGTATCTCAGCTCATTACCGTCGAGCCGTTAACAGCCTCGCTGGAGGGAGGCTTAACTGATTACTGATTAATTAAAGTAATTAAATGACTGAAAGTTGTTAGCTCAGTGAATTGCCAGCTGTCCATGCATACAGCACCTCAGGACTGAAAGTGGAAAGGCATTCAGATGCTTAAGATTAAACACCAATTGTTTATGGTGGAAACAGTTAACAATGTACAGTACTTATAAAACGGGCGGATATTGGGGCATATTGGACCACCTTTACCTATTTCCATGTGTCCACTATAGGGCCTTCTATTTTTGTGCCATTTATCCAGTACAGAGCTACGGTGAGACTGGAACCCATCACATGAAACATAGTGCAAGGTGGAGAACCTTCTGAATGGGACTGAAGTCTGTGGTAGCTGTAGGGAGCAAATAAGATGGAGATTTCAGGTCCAGAGAGTACAAATCCAGACCAAGATTTTGTTTCAACCAACCAGTTGAGTACTCTGTGACTGTGACTCTTTATACTACTGGTTGGTTGAAATAAAATCTTGGTCTGGATTTGTATTTCTGGACCTGAAATCTCCACCTCTAGCCATATCCTACAGTAGGTGACTGAAGTTAGCCACTATTTGCTAATTGATTTGTTCCTTTGTTCCAGGAGCTGCTCTCCCTGCAGCAGAACTGTAAAAAGTGCTTGTCTATGATCGAGAGGAACCATCAGTCTGTCCAGAGGGCTCTGTGCAACAGCAGGACTCTGCAGAACCTGGATAAGTCCCTTCTGCAGAAACGTGTGGTGGAGCTACAAGCCTCTTTGCAGGTCAGTCAGGGTCAGCAGTTGACTGTTGCCAAGACCTTTTTTATTCTTGTGTACAAACAGGGCATTGTTGTATCTTTAATTCCCAGGCCCCCATCCAACATCCCAAATGTAGTCTTCGCCAGTTCTTTCACATAATCGGGAGTTTGCAAAACAAGCAGGGATCTGACAGGCATCTTCCGATGTCGTGCTTCTGCCAGACGACGGTCATTTAACACACTGCTGGTTGGAGGACGTTATGTGAAAGAAAAGGCTTGGGACTCCCTACTGCTTAAAACGCTGCCCCCACCCCCCACCCACCCTCCTATGCAGTGTGATTAAAGATTCAAAAAAACAAATTCCAGTGCCTCAATACTGGCATGGTCCAAAATAGCCCATATGGTGTTTTCATGCTGTGTCAAAAACATCAAGTTTAAATACAAAAAATGCAGAACAAAAAAGGTTCTCATTTCAGTGACTTCAATGATGCCATGACTTGATATTCCAGTCAGGTCATTAGGGAGTAAGACATTTATAACAAAGAGTCATTGTGAATAAGTGACATAGTTGATTATATTGGATAGGATGGACACCAAACATGAAATCCACAAGTTTCCCTATATGCCATTACGTCTCCCCGAGCTCAGGCCATGGCGAAGGAGTCAGCAGACTGGAGGAGACACGTAGAGGCTAACAGTAGCCTCATGAAGAGGTTTGAAGAGTCTCGTGTCGAGTTGGAGAAGGTACTTAAGGGCGCCCAGGCTTCCCTGAAGGAGAAGGGGAACCCAGAGGAGCTGCTCAAGACGCACACTGTAAGGAAACCAGGGGGCCTTGCTGTGCCAGTCATACCTCGCTAATGTTAATATGATTGTTCATCTCATACTCGCTGTTGCGTGTTCCAGGAGTTTTTTGGCCAACTTGACCAGCGGGTCCTCAACACATTCCTAAAGGCGTGCGATGAGCTCACAGATATTCTGCCTGACCAGGAGCAGCACAGTCTGCAGGACACGGTCAGGAAGCTCCATAAGCAATGGAAGGTCAGTCTATCACGAGTGCCACCTAAAAGCACAAAGAGGCACCTCAGTAATGGATAAGGGTTTTGTGTCCTGCAGCACAAGCTATTGGTGATGCACCTTGGCACTGCATGTACATTAAGCAGCAAAATCTGCGCGTCCTTCCCAGGACCTCCAGGTGGAGGCGCCATGTCACCTGCTGCGCTTAAAAGCGGAAGTGGAGCAAAGTCGTTTGATGACGTCTTTACAGGAGTGCCAGGAAGAGCTGGCTCGGGAAGACCAGTGTCTTCCCAGCATGGGCAGTGAGAGACTCATCAAGGAGCATCGGGTGAGCCTGCATTGATATACAGGGCCACTAGGGGGAGTCCTGCGTTTTGGCTTTTTTTAGAATACGTGTTTGTTCTCCATCTTTTCTGAGGTCATGACGGATGGATACTCCAAACATTCCAGTAAGAAATGTCTCTCTTCAGGCCTTTTTCAGAGATAGTGGGCCCCATCTGCTCTGCGAGAAGAGACTGCAGCACATTGACGAACTATCCCAGAAGCTTCCGAAGAGTGACTCCGCCCACCGAACCCTGGAGAGCGCCAGGGCCGCCTTTGACGAGGTCATGGTCCAGATCAGCAGGACCCAGCAGAAACTCCTGGAGCACCCTGACAAGTGGAAGGAGTTCAACTCCAGGTGAAGCCACACAAAAGCAAGACATCTAAATAAAACAAATACTCATGCATGGATGTATTTAAAAGCCCTCTGGCAAACTCGCTGTCCTACAAAGTATGAAGTTCTTCCTTGTTTTCGCTAGTGCTGGTTAGCTGACTTTGAAGAGGCTGTCATGCTCCATCGGTTCATTGCGGCTCTGACTTTGCCGATAATTATCGCCCCTATACTTAATTTTTTTCCATCCCACCTACATTATTAGTGTTATTATTTCTGTATACCTTTTTTTTCTCCCCCTCTCCCCATGGTGATTGATGTCTGTTATTGTTATCCTTGTTGTTTCTGTATCCCCCCCTGTTTTTCTTTTTTGTTTTGTTTTTTTTTGTCCTTTTTCCACGGGACGGGTGAGTTCGGAGTGGCCACACTCTTTGCTCTTGAATGTAATGTAAAATAAAGTTGTCCTCTGAAGAGGGGGGGGTGGTGGTGGGCAATAAATAAATTAAAAAATAATAATTATCGCCTTTTTCGAAATCTGACAGATGTAGTTTTTTAATGCATAATCTTTTGATGGAGAGCCTCTTTAAGCTATCCTAATGGATATATACCTATCAACCAGGTAGACCATTTTTCCTCATTATGTGCTTATATGTAAAAACAGTACCTTGTGACTTAGTCTGTAATTAGTTGGAGCGGGTCACATTTTGTTCATGTCACTGCATGAGCTATATTTGATGTTTTGTGTTTGTTTGAATGCCCTTCTGTGTCACCATGCTCTAGGTTTTCCCAGCTCTCGTCATGGGTCTCGTCTAAGGAAAGCCGGCTACGGCTGCTCCGGAATGACGCCAGCAGTCCCGGAAAGTTCGGGCAGGTGAAATCCACGATTCAGGTGAATATTCAGCACCCTGCGACGGATGCCTGATAGGTGAAGTGTAGGGAGCCTCCATAGCAGATGACCTGAGGGACTATCCCCACTGCTGCTGTAGGAGCTTCGACATGAAGCGGAGAACCAGGAGGGGAATCTTAGTTGGCTCAAGACTCGCCTGGCCGCCCTGGTAGAGGTCTGTGCCGAGAGCGAGGCCAAGAAACAGGCTGCTGCTCTCAGCCAGCTGTCCTCTGACTTCAAGGGCCTCCTCTCTTCATTGACTGAGGTAACCATGCCACCCAAAATCATATTTTATCAATGTTCACACCTCAGTGAGCCTTTCCAGGTCTATTACAGCCACATATCCCAAACCTTGTTGCCATGAAAACCACCAAGCTGCTCCTCCCTGATATTTTCAGTAGAGTCTCATACTCTGACGGCAGGGCGTGACAGATGATCTACATTGCAGCTTACAAAGACAGGGATTTTAAAGGCTAAGCAACATACAAAAGAGACCACAAGGGATGATACTGGGGCAGGTGGAAAACGACTAACTAGAGTATAACTAACACTAAACACATTTGAGAAAAACACAGGTGCATAAGACGTCAAAGACCAATCAAACACAGAGCAACAACAGCTACAATGACCACCAAAAGAACATGACATAAGTAGGCAACTATATACACAACCAATGAGGCAAGACAAGGAGCAGGTGTGAGCCACTGAAAACCAACCACAGGGAAAGTAGGTAACAAGGAAAAGGTGAGGGACATAACAATACACTAGGGACTAGGGCAACATAGAAGATACTGGGAACATAACTGAAATAGGACATGATAGAAGACCTCACACAGGCAGTGATAACCAGAAGCAAAGACAGAAAAACAAAAAGACGTAAACTATACGGTATACAATTAATTAATCAAGGTGAAAAAAACTCAAAATGTCTAACAAAGTTGAGGCTGGACTTTAGCCAGCCTCAAGCCCTCAATGGCAGGAGATGCTCAAGTTCTCTGCTGCACACTCAATCCATTCGGCCGCATGGCAGCCCAGGGAGCAGGGGAACACAGTAGGACCTGTGAAGCACTAGGGGAACACAAAATGGGATGGCCAGCGACACCTGCTGGTCAAACCGGGAAACAGATGCGACAGGGACGGATCCTGACACTCACACTCATGTAGTATCCTCCTTGAGTCTGTTGCTTTCTGATATGATTATGGAGCCATGTGGACTGAAATGTGTAACGGAAGGGAAATGCCTCTGTCTCCTAGTCTGAGAAGGTGGTGTCGGCAGTGGAGGACTGTGTGCAGTTCCAGGAGGAGGTACGGGGTTCTCTGGGAGAGCTGCTGCAGGCTCAGCAAGAGGCACAGGCGGAGGCCTGTAAAATCCTGGACTCGGAGAGTGTGAGAGAGGCCCAGCATTTGCTCCTCATACATCAGGTACTGTTACTCACTGTTAGACTCCTCTTCTAAGCATGCATCCAGTATAAACTATTACTCACCATTAGACTTCTGTTAGTATACATCTAGTTTAAACTATTATTCACTGTTACACTCCACCTGTTAGTTGACATCCAATATTTTGATTATAAAAGGAGCAATCAATGGGAGTGCCCTTATTTATGACTTAGTTACTTCAAATGACTCCAAGCTAATCTACTTCTAGAAGTATAAATTGCAACTCAGTCATTGATTGTAACCTGATGCTCTATTACGACATGCGTGTAGACGGTAAGGAAGATGGAATTGCTGTTTCCCCCTCCCTCCATGAATGAAGGGGTGATTCTAGGGTTTTTTAAAGTGGGGTGCATAAGAGGGGCAATAATACATGCAGAGGGGCCAACCTTATCATTAGCCAATGATATTTTTTGAATCAGTGAGTGACAGTGGAGGGAGGCACTCTGGTGGCTAATGAGCTTTCAGCTGGGCTCAGAATCCCTGTGGCCCCGCCCTCAAATACAGCCCTACTCGAATGCGACCTCTGAGCATTAAGGGGGACATGCCTCACTCCTGCTGCTTACTTAATCTCCTTTGGCACCCGTGCATCCAGTCTGTGGGGTAAAACCATACATGCTCATTGGACTCCACAGCAACAGCTGAAACGTCTGCGGGGGAAGAGGAGAGACATGCTGCAGCAGATCCTACGTGGCCAGCAGCTACAGGGGGAGCGGGGGCTGAGCCCCTCCCTGCAGCCAGACCTGCAGAAGCTGGAGGCCACGCTCAGCACCATGGACCATACCATAGAGGCACAGGAGCACAATCTGCAGGTATCTGGGCATCGTTCCCCCAAGGCCTGTCACCTGTGTGTGCAGGCATGAGTGCTTGTGTCATGGTTTGTGTACCTTTATCAACAGGTGACACTGGACGCGTGGCAGGAATTTGAAGACCAGCGCAGGGGGGTCATAGACTTTGTGAACAAGGCCTGTCCCATTCTGGACAGGGAACCCATATTCAGCAGCACAGAGAGCTTGTCAACAGAGCTGGAACAGTCTAGGGTGAGTCTGCACTGATCCAGGTATCTGCATCAGATCCCATCCTAGGACTGGAACCCACAACCGTTAGGCTACTGGCCTATGATCTTAATCTTGACGGTCAATCATTTTGTTCCTTGATGTGGTGAAGTGCATTCATTTTCAGAGTTTCTTCTTTTGGTCAATGACTGTATGCAGGAGCTGTCCAAACTGTGTGGGATGCAGGCCGCACTGGTACACACCCTCCTGAAGAGGGCAGCAGAGATCCAGCTTGGCCCAAACAACCTATCCCTACTTCAGCAGCAAGCCCGCTCTGCCAGTGAGCAAGTGGACCGTGTGGAAACTGGGCTCAAGAAAGAGTAATAGCTCCCTCTATTCATTGAAATTAGAACTGCAGTGCGACATAATCATTTTGTAGAACTTCTATTCTCGGACTCATGTTAGCCTCACGCCATGCAGGGCTGGCCATTCAAGGTGGATTTGTTTATCTTTTGCAGTGTTAAACACCTGGAGGGAATGAAATCCAGGTGGGAGGAATTCCTTAACACGTTCGAGGCATTTTCCACATGGATTTCACAAAAAGAGAGGGTACTGGACACTCTGACCACGTCTTCCGCGTCACTCAAGCAACAGATCGACACTGTGAAGGTACACAGCTGCTGCTTTTCTCGTTGTTTAAAATGTATATAATTTAATTTACCATTTCTTAGATGCAAATTGTGCTTGATGTTAGACAACATGTATACTTCTGTGTGCAAAGTGATTTTGTGAACGCTTTGTTATTGTCGTGTCGTGTTTTAAGGCTGGTAGTAGATTTTTCCTGGGTTTAATGGAGGCCTCGTGTCATGTTCCAGTCCGTGCACATAGAGCTGAAGCAAAGAAGTGAAACATTGCCCTGGCTGGAGGCGGAGTCTCAGGCACTTGGGGGTTTCGTGTCATCGGGGGAGGCAGCTCGCATCAAGGCTCGGCTGACTCAAGCCGGCAGATACTGGGAGGAGCTAGGGGAGAGTGTGGAGCAGCTGATTGGCCGGCTGGAGGAGAGCTCCGCCCACCTTCAGAGGTTCAGTACCAATCTGGAGCAGGTATGACACAACGGGCATGTTTGAAGCTTAAGTAACTAATTGTTAATTAATCATTCTGGCCACATGTGTATTCATGTTCGATGTCTACTTCTTTTAGTGTTTGATTATTACCGTCACCTTTCCCTTGTTGCATTTTTATTTCTAAGGTGAAGTCTTCCATTGGTGAGCTGAGTGAAAAAATGGACCATCCTATCAAATGTTGTACTTCCTCATCTGAGACCTACAAAACGCTTCAGGAACATATGGTAAAACTTTATTGTTATTGTGATGCAGCTGCTGTTATAACCTCCTAATAACCTCTACAGATGTAGCTGCTGGTACATTTGCCATAGTGCAGTCTGAAATGGTGCCTGCGTTTGTGTGTGTGTGGATTAGGTTTATTGTCCCCCACAATATAATAAAAACCTGTTATTTTGACATAGTGGGGACCATTTTTCATGTCCACACAAAGATCTGTGAATGCAATCAAAAAAGTAAAAACGCTTTTAAAAAGTAAAAGTAAAAAGTGTTGTATTTTGTTTGGTTACTTATGGTTAAGGTTAGGGTTGGGTAGGGGTTAAGATCATCATGTTGGGATTAGAGTTTTCTCCATAGAAATGAATGGAGAGTCCCCGCAAAGATATAATTACAAACCTGTGTGTGTGTGTGCATGTATGTGTCTGTGTGCATGGTCACTCCAGGACATGACCCAGGCCCTGGAACAGCTGAAGGGTACCATGCTATCGCTGTCCGCCACAGCGAGCAGGCTCAGCGAGCGGGATCGGGCCGAGGGGGATGTGGCTGCTCTCCAGCAGGCCTACGAACAGGCCCTCCAGCAAGCCAAGGAGAAGCAGGGCCGCCTGGAAGGCCTTCTCTCTCTCTGGCAAAAGTAAGACATGGAGGAAAAAAATGAGGGGAGCAACAAGGGTTAGCCTCTGCTGATTTAATTAGTGATGGCCAAATGAAGCTTCATGAACCATTTGCTGCATTTTCTGACCCCACTAGATGGTGCACTCAAACCATTTGCCAAAATAAACCAAGAGCACCATCTAGTGGCATCAAAAAATACAGCAAATGGTTCATGAAGCTTCATTAGCCCATCACTACTGTTAATTGAAAGGGCTGTGTGATAATGGCCAAGAGTTTGCCCCTGTGCTAGACTGCGACAACGGCCAGATATTGCGATTTACATTAATTAATGCATTTATGGTGCGTATATGAATGGAGAAGTTTCTGGGTGAGGTTGCTAAGCATGTAAATAAAGGCACACAGTGCTGGACAAAGCCCCTATGGTGCCTTTAGCAAGCTTCACTGATGCCCCCACCCAAGTAATTTGCACTTCCCAGTTTCACTTTGGATAGGACAATGCATGCTGTTGGGGGGTGTTGTCACTTTGCTAAGTCGATGCCTCCTCAGAAGACAACGCCCTAGGAAGCCGCCTGTATCACCTATAGGGTTGACTAGTCCTGATGGCACCCCAATGTGTGTGTTCTTCAGGTTTGAGAAAGAGTTCTCCAGCTTCCTGTCCTGGCTGGATGGATGCGAGACTCTCTGTAGCTCAGAGTCCCAGTGCCTTCCTGCAGATACAGCCAAGCTTCAAAGCGAGCTTCTGCACTTGAAGGTAGCTGGCAAGGTTTTAATCCTTGTTTCGTCACATTTATTTATTTTTTTGATGAAGTATAGCTTGGACCTAGATTTTTGAGATCTCTTTTGCTGAACCTTAACTTTGCTATATAGGATCTGCAGTGTGAAGTTTTGTCCCATGAGGCAATTTATGACATCCTGTTGAGCCTGGGCGAATCCCTGTACCCTACTGCACCGGAGGAGAGAGTGAAGGAGCTGGCAGAGGACCTGGACCATTTGGGGAACAGAATGAGGTCACAGAAGAAGGCTTTACCTCAAAGGTCAGGGTTCTGACCAGGGTACACTCATAACCTTAACATAACATGACCAAATAATATTCCTGCATCTGAGATCTGACCCTTCTCTAGTTGGTCTTACTTGATTGACCCTTTACTGCTTTGCACAGGAGTTTGGACAGGCTTCTATTTGGTGAAGAAGTTTACTTCACTTGCTCTTCCTTCATAGGATTCAACAGCTGCAGGTCCACATGGACCAAGTGGAGCAGTTTGACCAAGCTCTGTTGGCCTTCTCCCAATGGAGCGAGAACTTCCTCACTGGCCTCTATTCCGAGTGCCAGGTCTGCATCACAGACCTACAGCCAGCTGCCACTCTGGTAAAGGTATGTCAGAACATGTTCACTGAGTGTTCTTGCCTCCTTTGTTTATCTACCTGCCTTTATCATTGAAGACTGACTCTTAGTCTTTGTCAGGAAAGGGCAGCCTCTCTACAGAGACAGGCCAGTGAGATGAAGGAGCTACAGAAGTTTGTGGACACCCTCTCCTTGTCCTGTGAACCTGGTGACCTACAGTTGCTTCAGGGTCGCCTGGAAGACTGCTTCCAGCCCTTCCTGGAGGCCCAGCAACTGATGGGCCACCGGCGTGACGGCCTGGAGAAGCTGGAGGCTTTCCTGCAGACCCAAAGTGTGGCTGCCAACGTGCTACTCGGGCTGAGGCAGACAGTAGAAAGTGCCGGAGCCTGGGACCAGGGCAAGGTCCACGAGCTGCAGCAGGAGCTGAAGGCCATTGTTCCCGACATCGGGCGCCTGGAGGCGCTAGCAGTCAGCCTGGACGGGAGCCTCTGCAAAGCCCGCTACCACCTCTGCCGGGAGGAGCAACGGACCTCCTGCCGTGTGCTGGCGGACACCCTCAGCTTGGAGCTGGAAGCTGTGCAGAACCTCCTGGGCACCAAGCAGAGTGAGGCCGAGGCTCTGAGCGCGCTCTGGGCTACCTTCAGGCAGCGTAAGGAGCAGCTGCTGAAAAGTGTGGAGGACATTGAGGAAAAGGCTGACCACCAGGTTCTGGGAGAACCAAGCCTGCTGGCCCTGCAGCAGAGGTACTTCTAATCATTGAGTCACCATTTTATTGACAATCTCACTGAACCAGTGAGAAGAATTGATGAGGTCTCCTAACAATGTGGACTTTCCCATCAAGGTCTCTTATTTATCACCTGTAGGTTGCGCTTTTTCAACCAGCTGGAAAACGAGCTGCTGTCCCATAAGCATGAGGAGCAGTGGTTGAGGGAAAAGGGTCGGCAGCTGGCCCAGAGGGACTCCGAGCTGGCGGTGGAGGCCCAGAGGGACATCGGTCTCCTGGAGGCTACCTGGGAGGCCACCCAGAGGCTCATTGCAGATGGGTGGGTCTTTAGCTTCCCAGCACCCTCCATGGGAAAGATCAGTGAGATGCTCTCACCCATCTTTAGTTGCGTGTTAGCATAGCGGTTAGCATACCTGCTTGTCATCTGGGAGAACAGGGTTTGATTCCCCATTGGGGAGTGTTGTGCTTCCTTTATTACCTGGCTGTTCTTTGAAAGCTCTGTTTGTTTTACTAGCCATTGCATGGTCTTATTAGGTTCTTACTTTGTTAATTATGTGTAGTTGTGTTGCTGTTTGGGTTGTGGCCTGCTCCAGTAACTGCTTACACTTGTACCCACTTGTACCTGGACATTCATTGTAAGCTCAGCCTAACTGCCTTTATGCCTCCTTGCCAGCGTGAATGTTTGAAATGCGCTGTTTGCCTCGCTGTATGTCGCTTAGGACAAAGTGCCTGCTATACATGTAAATGTAACTATGTACACCCCCCATTTAAAGCATGCTTTCATTAATATAAAAAATTTGGTAACTTTCTATGAATGCCATATCCATAAGAATCTATGAACACGTTCATAACATGTTGTAATGTATTTACAAAGCATTATAAAAATGACTAAAGATATTTATAAAAAGCCATAACACATTATATCCATGTTTATTATGCATAATGAATGCCTTATGAAGCTCTCATCTACAATGCACTATAGATACCTTCATAATGCAGTACAATGCATCTTTAATTCTTATACCGACCATTATAATGCATTATGAAGGTATCTGTAGTACATTATAGATGAGAGCTTCACTGGAGCTTATGAAGTATTATAATCAACACTATAATGTTTTATAACTGTCAGTAGAAGGTGCTGTAATGCTTTATTAATTTTTATACCGACCCTTATGATGCACTACAAAGGTACCTGTAGTGCTTTATAGATAACAGCTTCAAAGTAAAGTGTTACCGAAAAACTTAGCAATGATCACAAACCTGTTTAGCATCACACTATATTCCAAATTATGCTCCAGTATGTAGCATAGTCGCTTTGCTGATTTATTCGGCACTTTTTTAAGCAAACATGTAAGACATTCACTGAATATTTCACTGGGGCAGGTTAAGTACCTCCTGGCACTTAGATCAGCGCCCTTTGTGTTATTCTGCAAGACTCCCTGCTGGTTTTTGTGTCCCTTCAAGGGATGCGACATTCATTCACAGAGCTATGTTCCATTTGTGTAGCCAGGAGCAGTGTACCGCCATGGTGGACCTCACAAGGGATTTCCAGAACATGAGGTCGTCTATTAGCGCTATCCTGGACAACGCGGAGAGCGTGGCTGAGATGAAGGTTGCTGTCAAGGACCAAGATGACATCAGAAGAGCCCTATCCCGGGTGAGCTTTGGATTACAATACTGTTCCTAAAGCAGCCATTCAGAGATGTTCCCCTTTCAATGGGAGAATGTATGTCATGATAAAAATATGAAGAGATAACACAATAAAATATAAGCAGGAAGGTGATTTTGTTCAGTCAATCCTATTATATTTTAAACAATCCCATCAACGCAAAAGTAATATAATTTTTGATTGTGTAATTGATTTTTCTCAATCATTTATATGTTTTAAGTCAAGTCAGATTTATTTATATAGCACTTTAAAAACACCTCTTGCTGACTAAAATGCTTTACATAGATCATAAAATCACAGCATGATAATAAGGCACAAGGCCAGCGTAAAACAATCTGATGCACAATCTGTTCTGTAGCACATTCAAGTCTCTTTAAAATCTAATGAAAACAGGAGAGTTTGAAGTGTAGATTTAAAGACTAAAACTGAAGAACACCTAATGTACAGTGGTAAGTTATTCCAAAGCTTTGGTGCTACAGTACGTCTGCAAATGCACGTCACCCTTTGTTCTCAACCGGGACTTTGGACAAAAGAAGCTGGTCAGAGATCTCGGCGATCTTGACGCAGTATGCGGGCATAGCAAACTGGCGATATAAGGAGGTGCTAACCCATGCGGGGCTTTACAAACAAATAATAACCTTAAACTGAGACCTGTACTGAATTGGTAGCCAATGGAGGAAGGCCAGGACTAGAGTTATGTAACCCCTCTTCTTTGTACAAGTTAAAAACCATTTTTTCTAACTGTAGATTGGGATAGGCATGACAGACTTACCCCAGTGTACAGAGAATATTAGACTGACTGTTCTCTTATTTGATAACTCATATAATAATCAGTGTTTCCTGTATTGGCTTCAGGCATGTTATAGTGAGGATTGTGTCATTTGATTGGTTTGGTTACATATTGTACTCAACTAGTCATTTCAACACATTTACTTACCATTCATCTTCCAAAGCACGATGCAGTGAAGACGGAGATGACGAACAACCAGGAAGGGCTGGACCAGTTCACCGGCACGGGAAAGCGGCTGCTGAACGAACTCAAGAAGATCCCTGAGTGTGAGACGCAGCTGGTGAAGAAGGACATGGACGCCATTGTGGACCAGTGGCTGGACGTAAGGGAATGTTACTGTTATGTTGCTCTAGATGTGCATCAACAAAAATAATAATGGTTTCACAGTAGCAAAATAAAAGGTTGTAGCTCGCGAGTTGATGTAAACACAACCCAGACATGTGTTCCTGTTTATGGGAGTCAAACTGGGTGTTTTCATGTTTACTTGACCCAGGGCCTGTTTCACAAAGCAGGATTACTTGCTTAGCCAGATAACTTGCCAGATTTAAGGTAGTCTGGGCTAAATGTAAGTTGATGAAAATACGGTCTATTTAGCCCAGACTACCTTAAATCTGGCAAGTTATCTGGCTAAGCAAGAAATCCTGCTTTGTGAAACAGACCCCCAAGAATGAATATCAGATTATCGTGTCGTTATCTTATGAAGAGCGCCATTTACAAATGAGTGAGCGATTAGCGCTGCTTAGTGACTCAGATACTGAAGTCGAAGACTCTTAGTCTGTTTTTTTAAACTCAGGTTTTTTAAACGGATTGGTAAGATTTCTGTTTGATCCCATGGGCGCTCCTGTCATGCTTGCTGACAGAGAGCACAGAAAAGTCAGACGAATGTGTCTTCCTATCCCACAGCTGTCAGAAAGGATTGAAGACAACATTGATCGACTCAACCATAGCTTGATGCTGTGGGAGGAAGTATTGAAGATCAACGAGGAGTTAGATGGCTGGGCCCACAGCTCTGTGGCTGAGCTCAGCGAGAGCCTGAATGACCTTAACAACAGCCGAAGGATGGAGGGACGGCTCACCGAGTTTCAGGTCGGGATCTTGTGAGAGTGACACATATCTGTTCACCAATATAAACTTTAATTTTTACACTTGTTCACTTGGCTTGCATTGAAACAAAATGTTTGTGGGTGAACATATATCAAAGGTCCCTGAACATGTTATTGTATGTGTAGTGGTGTACTCTTTTGCGGTTTTTCTTTTTTATTATTTAATTTATTACCTATTTTTGTTTTATTGCTGTTTCTCTCTTGTGTATTTATTGTCTTTTTACTGTGGGAATTTTTGTACATTCATCCACAAGGACATTTGTGAGGTGAGTCACTGATGTAGATCTCTATTGTAGTCAGTGTTTGGCATTTCAGGTCCGGAATCTACAAATCCAGACCAATATTTTGTTTCTACCAACCAGTTGAGCATAAAGAGTCAAAGTTGCAGAGTACTCACCTGGTTGGTAGAATCAAAATCTTGATTTGTAGTTTCTGGACCTGAAATGCCCAACGCTGACTGTAGTTCCCAAAGGTGTTCAATGTGTTGAGGATAGGGCTCTGTGTGTGCCAATCAAGTTCTTCCACACCAAACTCACTGAACTATGTCTTTAAGGACCTTGCTTTATGCACTAGGGCACAGTCATGCTGGAACAGAAAAGGATCTTCCCTAAACTGTTACCACAAAATTGGAAGCATAGAATTGTCCAAAATGTCATGGTATACCATCATACCATGACCTCACAAATGCTATTATGGATGAATGGGCAAAAATTCCCACAAACACACTCCAATATCTTGTGGAAAGTCTTCCCAGAAGAGTGGCAGCTGTTGTAGCTACAAAGGGGTAACCGACTCCCTATTGCTGCCTATGGATTTAGAATGGGATGTCATAAAAGGTTCTGTTGGTGTAATGGGCAGGTGTCCCAAAGCTTTTGTCTGTATAGTGTATTTCTTCTGTTGCTGGACAAAGACATGGGATTCAATAAAGTTCCATCTTATTCTGTTATCTTATTTAATATGCATGCATGAAAGCCAAGCTTTTTGTCTGCAGGCTGAGGTGGAGAAGAATGAAGAGAAGCTTAAAGTTCTGCAGGGAAAAGTGTTGGAGCTTAAACAGCTAATGAAGAGCCAGGAGACCCCAACAGAACTACAGGTAGATCCAGGAAACAGGGTCTGCATAATTGGACTTCAACTGTTTTGAGTTTTTTTTGGGTTTTTGAAGCATGACAGATGGTTGCTTTGTGTAAGCATCAACTTTTTTTTGTGTTGCTGCTGTTAGGTCATGGACACTGACCTGAAGAAGAAGATTATCCAGGCCCAAGAGGTATCTGAAGAGGTGAGAACTACTCTCAGCGACTTCCGCTTCCAGAAGCAGCAGCTGGAAGACTTTGTGTCCCAGATGGCAGAGTGGCTGAAGAATGTAGAGCACTCGCTGTCAACATCGCAACAAGGGGCAAAGACAGAGGACATCTGTAAAGTAAAGGTAGGTAATGGAGTGTCATTCTGCCTCAGTGAAATCAAGATGTGAAATGTACATAGAGGAGGACGTACAGGACCAGTCAAGTCTGGGCACACCTCTGAAAACAAGACGACAACTCTAAGCACACATTGTGGTTATGTACTAGGAATTATCTTGTGAACAAGCAGAGAGATGGAGTGCTGTGACAGATGACCTGGCCCCCACAATCCCCGACCTAAACCCTATAGAGCTGGTTTGGGATGAGTAGGATTGAAGAGTAAGAGTAAGGTAGCCAACTTGCGCCCAGAACTTGTAGAAACTCCTCCAGGACTGTTGGAGAAGCATTGGAAGCTGGTAGAAAGAATGCCAAGAGTCTACAATGATGTCATCAAAGCAAGGGGGTGGGGGTATTTATTTTGACAAGTCTAAAATTTGAGGAAAATTCTAAGCTGTTGAACACTTGCCTTAGTTGTTGTGATATTTGACATGTATTATTTTATTGCCTCAAGGCCTTTTAGTAAGAGGTGAATAACAGCTAAAATAGAGACAAATGCATTAAACACAGGTGTGTCCAGACTTTTGACTGGTACTGTACCAGGTCGTTAATAAAATAGTTGGATTCTACTGTGAGTTCAACTTCACCAGTTTCTTCAGTTTTTGAAATAAGACAACCAAGTCATTTTATTAAGGTGCATTTATATTATTGAGATGATCGGCATTGGGTTAGCTAAAAACACTATATATACGTTTGCTGTCCCGTGTGTGTGACAGGAGGTGCAGAAGGAGTTGCTGAACCAGCAGGGCAGCATCGACTCCACGCGGGAGAACCTCAACAACCTCTGCAGGAAGTACCCCTCGGAGGAGCTGGCCAAGCTGGGAGCCACGCTGACTGAGCTCATCAAAAAGTACAAAGCTGTCCAGCAGCTCTCCAACAAAGCCCTGGGCTCCCTGCAGAACAGCCTGCAGCTACACTTCAGTGGTGAGGCGATGCCAGAAACTGCTCAGTACTCCTATAGTGTGCCGCATATGTTCTGTTTTAGTTTGCGGTAGGGCTGCTGTAATTAGTCGACAAATGCGTCGGCATCAATATTTTAAATTGATTCATCTTTTTCTTTTTTTAAAATATTTTAACGAAATTGTTTTCCTAGTTTTCCTTTAATATGTAAATGAAACTATGAAAAAGAGGCATTAGTGGCAGCCCTAGTTTGGGGTGGTACAGGGCTTATAGATAGTAGTGGACGCTCCCTTAATTCAGTAAAAACACTGCTAATTTTTTGGTTTCATAAAAATATAATTACTTTATACATTTGTCATATATATATCTCACATTAGAAAGAACTAGCAGTTTTATGTGAAACATTCGCTTGTGGGTGTTTTAATTGCACAAAAATGTTCTGAGGACAGACCAAAAAACAATTGATTTAGAGAGATAACCAATCAGATTGTAGAGGAGGTGGGTCCAAGCAACTAGGGAAGGTAGGACCAAGGCATCTGATTGGTTGGCCCCGCCTCCTCAAGTTGGTTGGACCCACCTCCTCTACAATGTGACTGGTCATTTTTCTTTCTGCCCTCAGAACATTTTTTTGTAAGAAAAACTCCCACAACTGTTCTTCTGAAATGAAACCACTGGTCCATTAAGGTACAGCCACGTGCTCTGAAAGTCTGAAAGACTGTTTCACTTCCCTGTCCAGACCTAGTTCAGGAATTCCACGAGTGGCTCTCCAACCTGGACTATGGTGTGAGGGAATGTTCTGATCAGTCTGGAGACTCCAGCACCATCGAGAACAAGCTACGGAAGCTCAAGGTGCTTTTCCCGGCATGAACACAATCGTTTTATGTTTTTTTGTATGCATAGGCATATTTGTGTGTGATCTGAAAATAATTTGAGAGGACTATTTGGAATGACACACAGTTTAATGCGCCCGTATTGGTGTTGGTTTCACAGAAAGTTCCAGAAAAATGGAAAAAGTGTCAACTTAAGTGGTGCTGTTGCTTCTGTCCGTATCCTGTAGGTGGCGCTTGAGCATGAGGAAGAGGGCAAAGCCCGTATGACGAGGGTGTGCGAGGAGGGCGAGAAGCTCCTGTTGCACCTCCCCAAGGCCAGCGTGGGGCAGGTGCAGCAGCACCTCTCCTCCAGCCAGCGGGACTGGGACGGCTTCATGGAGCGGTGCCGGCAGAACCAGCAGCTGCTGGAGGAGGCTGCCGCCCAGCTGAGCGGGTGAGAGGCAGAGGGGGGGCGCTAGAAATATAGCTCAAGGGCTTCACTTGGATGGCCCCCTGGCCATGTAAGCCTAGGAACCCCAGAGAAGTTAATCTTCCCCAGGGTAACAGTGTTTAAGGATCCTAGCTTGAGACTCAGAACGAGTCCAGAAGTGATATGGCCCCTATTTTACACCAAGAAACTTACAGATTTTGCCTGTTTTACTCATTGAATGCTTTTCCAAGAGCAATTAATGCTCTGAGATTCAAGGAAAAAACTTTTTTGATTTTTTAATTTAAATTAAGTGTTGGGATGGTAACAAAGCCCCCCCCCCTCACAAGTGTGTGGTCATCTTAAAGCTGTTTTTGCCATCTTTAAGGAATAACAGTGGCATGTATCGTATGAGAAATACAGTATAAGCAAAAAACAATTAATTATGAATTTCTGGAACTCAGGAGGTGAAGAGCTTTTGCTAAAGGGTACGGCAGGGCAACTGAACGTAAGCACGTGGATGTGTGTCATTCAGGTTCGACACCCAGGTGAAGAAGATGAGGAGGTGGTTGGAGCAGATGGAGCAGGAGCTGAGCGCGGAGGTGCAGGGGGTGAAGCCACAGAGCGTCACCGAGAGGACGGCGGAGCTGCAGCGCATGGAGCAGTTCCACAAAGGACTGCTGAAGGAGAGGTATCCTCAATATCGCCCCCTTGGTTTACAGAAGCAGCCTGGATTATCGCTATGGGATCTGAGTCAACCGTGGATGTGAGTCACGCATACGCCAGTGTTGAAAGCAATAATCAAGAGCAAATTAAAACTAACTAAAACTGAAAACTAACTAAAAGCAAGCCAAATACAAAAAAACTTATTTGTCCAAGAAAAATATATGTCCAGTTTCCGTTAGGGGCTTTGCCAGTGTCGGCAGTGTAATTGGGTGTAAGTTTAGCAGATGGGATAAAGTAGTAATGGACAAAGCTTCATGAACCATTTGCTATATTTTTTTGACCCCACTTGATGGTGCTCTTGGTTTGCTTTGGGGCATGCTTTGAGCCCTTTTATGAACAGAGAGCATAATCTAGTGGGGTCAGAAAATACAGCAAATGGGTCATGAAGCTTCATTTGGCCATCACTTATCCAAAGACCTTTATTACTTTAACATGGTTGACTTAGATCGGCGACGTACGCGCAACTCAAATCCACGGTTGAGTCAGATCCTGTAGTGACACGTCATGATCTGGTCATGGAAGGATAATCTTATGGGCAGTGTCCGGTTTCCCACACAGGGACTCCTTCGAGCTCCTGTCACAGGAGTCCCATGGCCTGAGCGAGTCGGGCAGGGGTGACGGCGGTGAGATGCGTGCGGCTGCACAGCTGCAAGCAGCCTACCAGGCTCTGCTGAGGCGCGCTGGGGAGCGACTGCGCAGCTGTCAGCTGACGCTGCAGGAACACCAGGCCTTCGAGGAGACGCTGCAGAGTACCTGGACCTGGCTGAAGGGTGTACAGGGTCGCCTGGGTTCGCTGAACACCACCATTGGATGCAAGGAGACCCTGGAGAAGAGGCTGGGCCTTGTGCAGGTCAGCTGGAATTTCAGCTGCTAATACAGTCAAAAGTATGTGGGCACCAGCTTGGCCAGTGTCTCAGGCTGAAAACAAGGCTTTCAATATTACCCATTCTGCTGCTAATGTTTGTTGCAGGAGATTGTGTGATCGTCTACTGCGATGGATGTGACTTAAATAGGCAGTTCCTGTAATTAATAAGGATGTCCACATACATTTGGCTATATAGTGTACCTGTAACCAGCAAATCTTAAAGTGCAGCATGCAACCCGTTTTTTTTTTTACCATTTTATGTTTTATTAATCATATGTTCCTAGTCGTCTTGACCAAACTAGGTTGGCTTCCGGGCTTGTGCAGGATATCTTACTGATGAAGGGCGAGGGCGAGGTGAAGCTGAACATGGCCATTGGCAAGGGGGAGCAGGCCATGAAGAGCAGTGGAGAAGAAGGGAGGAAGAACATCCATTCCCAGCTGCAGGGCCTGAAGGATGCCTGGGCTACCACTCTCATGACCGCTATGAGCTGCCACAGGTTTGGTGTTGATTGCCACGGTTTTATTCAGAGGTGTACAATTTTACCCATAATGCAATGGTCTGCATGGGACTCCCGACAGATGTCAGTCTTTCGGTCATTGCTTGGCTCCACCCACAGCCGCCTGGAGTGGACCGTGGCCCAGTGGAGCGGCTTCCAGGAGGCCCAGAGCCAGCTGCTACAGTGGATGGAGTCGGTGGAGCAGGACGTGGGAGCCCTCCTGCCCCTGCAGCCGGGGCCCAAGGAGAAGGCCTCGCAGCTGGAGCGGTGCCGCACTACACTGGCCGAGGTGGAGAGCCAGGCGTCGGCGCTGGCACGCCTGAAGGAGAAGGCCATCGAGCTGCACAAGAAGACCGGGGACCAGGGTTTCGGGGAGCAGTCGAGATCGGCGCTCAGCATGCGGTTTGCTGACATCACTGGTACTGTTAAGGTAACCATGCTCAGTGTCTCCCTGCATGGCCTGAGGTTATTCCTGAGGATAAAGCAGAAACAGTAGGCAGATAGTCTGAGCTGCATGTAATAAACATCCACTCATCCAACATCTACTCATAAACTGAAGAGCAAATTTCCAAAACTCACCCATTTTTTGAGATGAGCTCACCAATGGCCTAATGTAAGGCTTCCACATCATATGTTACTGTATCGGGAACCAAAACTCACTCAGTTCTCATGTAATCCAACAATTTCCAAATTTCCAAAACAACATATCCTGTGGACTGAGTGAGTTTGGGAAACTTGCTCTTTAATTATGAAGATGGTAAAAATGGGAGATGCCAGCGTGAGTGAGATCTGCTGTGTGAGCAGCGTGGGCCTCGGGGCGTTTGCCATTGATCCCTGTGAATCCCTAAATGTGCCCCCCCACCCCCCATCGTGAAGGGACGGGTGAAGGCGATGGAGGACCTCGTGGAGGAGCACAGGCGCTACCTGGAGGCGGTGCGGGAGCTCAATGATTGGCTGACCTCTGCCAAGGAGGAGCTCCAGCGCTGGTCCGACACCTCGGGGGACTCTGGGATGCTGCAAAAGAAACTCGGAAAAGTGCAGGTCAGCTGATCCGGAATCTGGGCACAGTGTGGAATTTCTTCGGCCTCTTTGGTGCAGAAAGTATGATAGCTGACAATGGACAGTTTTAATCGTTTTGTATTCAGGATAATGTCATAAAGTAATTTAAAAATGACCATGATAGCTCAGTTTATACTACGCCTCACACTTCTAGAGTTTCTGGTTTTAATTTGTTCCCAGCTCTGTATGTGTATAACTGGATGAATGTTTAAGGATGGCTAATTGAAAATTATGCTGACAGTTTTAAACTGAATTGGCATTTTCCTGCTGAACTGTATTCATCCATCTGTATTCATAAAAAGTGAATCAGAATCAGAATCCTTGTATTTGAACGAACAAAAAACATGAATTTGTTGTGATGCAGGTGGTGACATGAGGTATAATAGTGATGGCCAAATGAAGCTTCATGAACCATGTGCTGTATCTTCTGACCCCACTAGATGGTGCTCTCTGTTTATAAAAGGGCTCAAAGCATGCCTCAAAGCAAACCAAGGGCACCATCTAGTCGTTCATGGTTCATGAAGCTTCATTTGCCCATTACTAACGTATACTATTAAACATACAATCAATACAGAAATACAAAAAGAATAAATATAATTAAATAATAAAAACAGTGTAGTAAATAAATAAACGTATAGACATATAAATTGCATCTTTTTCCGCCTCTGCTTCTATTTAATGACTAGATCCAGTCTTTTAACAGCATGTCAGGTAAACATATAAAATTTGCCTGGCAGGAGCTAATTGACTCGCGGCCCCGGGGCAGGGAGCGACTGACCCGCGCCGAGCAGCGTGGGGCAACTGCACGGGAGCACACGGCGCCGGCGGGCCGCGAGCTGATGGCCCGGGAAGAGCGCGCCCTGCTGGCCGCCTGGGAGCAGTGGGACAGTGACGCGCTGCGGGCCCGCGCCTGCCTAGAGGGCGCTCTCGCGCAGGCCTCCAGGTCCGAGCAGGAGTTCAGCCGGCTGGCTGCGCAGCTGGAGCAGGATCTCTGCGAGATGAGCAGCCAGATCCAGGCCTGGAGGCAGAAGCTGAGTCAGGCTGAAAGGGAGGAGGACGTAGTGAAAGGCTGGCAGGTCGCTAAGGTAGATGTACGCTCTGCTTTTAGGCTCCCTGGCCGATTATTTTAAATGATCTTCTTACTCCATTATGACCAATAACGGTTAACGAGTTTATGCTCGTGATCATAATAAAAGTTTGATGCTCCTGAATGGGCATAAACTCAAAATATCTGAAGTCGAACCATCGTAAAGTGTGGAGCATCTGTACCCACTATTATACAATAATATACAAGTGTTTTTCAAAAATTTGTGTAATATACGTTTAATTCAATATTATTTTACTAATATAGTTTAATTTTATGTAACTGGACTTGACACATAGCGGAATGCATTTTTACAAATGTGTCTCAGCCCTTTTTATAAACTATAATCTTTTGGCTTTTTTTTTGTTTTCTGTTAGGACACCCTGGAGGGTTTGCAGGAGATGGAGCCCATGCTGGACAGCTTGAAGTTACGGTTAAACGATCTCTGCCGCTTCTCCAGAGACCTGGGCTCTCAGCTAGAGAGAGTGTCTGCTCTAATTAAGGAGTACAACAGGTAACCTAAAAGCCACAGCTTTCCAGTGTCGAGTCAAGGCTCTGTTTTTGGTGAAGAAAGCATGTAAAGTCAGTAACTTAATGCAGTGTTTCTCAGCCTGGTGTTCTGGGACCCACAGACAGTCCACATTTTTGCTCCCTGCCGGCTGCCCGCCTGACAGTCCACATTTTTGCTCCCTACTGGGACCAGGTTGAGCAACGTTGATGTAATGGATACTGGTCTGAATTTGCAGGTAATGTACCACTGTAAAGTAATTCTGTGGCTTTTCCTTTTTCCCAGTCTGAGCCTCCAGGCTTCCCAAGAGTGCCAGAATAAGGAGAAGCTTCTGGAGCAGAGGTTCCGCTCCACTTTGAAAGACTTCCAGCAGTGGCAGGTCAATGCCAAGATCAACACTGCCAAGTGCTTCGACGTGCCCCAGAACATCCTCGAGGTCTCTACTGCCCTGCAGAAGATCCAGGTACAACGTTAGCAGACTCCCAAAATGACCCGGATCAGCATGTCCATTGTACTTTTCCATATAAGGATGATAATGTGATTTTTTTTGCACTCTTTCAACTACAGTATAAGTAGAACTTCAACATGCAACATGGACCCCATGTTAATATTGGGTTTTTCTATTATTTCACCACAGTCAAATGGATTCACATTCAGATTATTCCCATTCAGTCAGTGTCACATGGTTTTTTCGGCTTCTGTTGGCCTACCATTCTCTTCCAGGAGTTCCTGAGTGAGAGGGAACAGGGCCAAACAAAGCTCAGTGCGGTGGCCTTCAGTGGAGAGCAGCTCAGCAGCATCATAGCCAGAGACAGAGTGGAAACAGTCCGAGCCAAAGTGACCAGTGCCAGAAAAGACTGGAAGGCGCTGATGTCCAACTTGCATCAAAGGGAAACAGCCTTACAGGTACAGATGATCATGTCTAGGGGTGATTTTGGGCCGGGACTATAATTCATACAGAGGGACCAACCTTATCATTAGCCAATGATGTGTTTTTAATCGGTGAGTGACAGGGCAAGAAGCACTCCATGGGCCAATTAGCTTTCAGCTGGAGCCAGTGTCCCTGGGGCCCCGCCCCTGTATTACCCATGCAGTGTGTTTCTGCTGTGGTCACTAGGCCTCCACCAGCTCCTCTTTGTATCGTCATGCCAGTTGCTCAGCCAGCTGTGTGTATATCGCTGTGTCCATGTTCCAGGACCTGCAGGCTCAGATGAAGGACTTTGAGGCGAGCGCGGAGCCCCTGCAGGAGTGGCTGAACGTGACGGAGGCAGCAGTGCAAGACAGCAGCACGTGCTTGCAGGACCTGCCCTCTAAGAAGCAGGAGTTGCAGCGGCTTCAGGTATAATGCTGTAGTATCTATGGAGTATCTTGTGAGAATGCTTAGCTTAGCAGCACTTGTACCAAAGCTGGTTCCTTGACAATTATCTGTTTGTTATGGATTACCTACCTCATTTGTATGTCACTTTTGCCAAGTGAATAAATGTAAGTGCTGCCATAAACAACCATCTTCTCTGTATAAGTTGACTGACATATTCATGTGTCACAGGGATGGGAAGATGGAATGGGGGTCATCTTTGGGCTTTGGGTTTAATAAACCAGGGTAAGAGGGGCAAACGGAAGGGATGGTCATTCTGACTTCAGCAAAAAGGGGAATGGACTGGATTTTTGGAAAGACAGATTTTGGGTTAACAGATGGCTGTAGGATGCCAGCATCAAGCTCTGATCATCTAGTCTGGGCTGTGAGGAAAAGCAGAAGTTTGCTTTATGTTGGTGAATGCAGGAGCTCGTCGCCCAACTCGGTTATCGTCCATTTTATCGACATTCCCAGCTGAGACCTGGATATCGTTGCTGTAAGTTGCATTGATTCTTTGTGGGATGCGATTAGCCACTAATAGCTTGTATGTTTTTTTTTTGCAGGCTATCATTGAAGAATTGGCTTCTCAGGAGTTGCAGCTGAACAAACTGAAAGAGAAAGCTCACCTGCTGTGGGAGGGGCATGCCGCGGGGAAAGGCTTCATGCACCGAGTGTCCCAGCTATCCGCCCAGTACCTGACATTAAGCAACTTGACCAAGGTAACCGTCACCAGTTTGAGTTGCTTCTAGTAATGGCTGCTAACATTCTCCAGAATCCACTTTTTCTAGGAGACAGGAATTAGTTAAGTATGGGATAAACCATGTTGAAGAGTGTGGTTATATGAAAATAACCCATAACAACTTAAATGTAATCTAGCTGAAGTTGATTACAGTCACAGTTTATTTTTCAAAAGATTTTTTTTCCACTAGCATTTAATAATATTCCAAAATGCTCTTAAAGATATAGTCCCTATAAGTATAGAATGTCTGATCAGGCTGCACACTGGAAGCGGCAAGTATGTTAAGTTACCATGGAAACCATCAACAGACTTGCATTTTGAAAACCAATAAAAATCACGCTGATAAGAATGACTGCTGATTTCTGAGTAAAAAGGTTTTTGTATGAACATATTTGATAAAACATTAAAACACATTAATATTGAGTTCTTATTAAGCTGCCAGAAGTACTTTTGCAGTCACATGGAAATAATCGACACCCATGTGACGTCTCTGGGCCAATAAGAAAACCAGAGCTGTTGCATAATCTTTATTTGTGATTTTTATTAGTAATAGGGCATTTTTCAAATTTTTCCATGTGAATTAATGAAATTCAGTCGTTTACTATGTTATATTTTTACAACTAAAAATTGCCCGATGGATTCTTAGCAGTCAAGGTGACATGGACCTAACGGGATGGGTGTGTCACTCTTGCCTGGCAGGAGAAGGTTTCCCGCATGGACAGGCTCGTCTCGGAGCACCAGCTGTTCTCACAGGGCCTTAAGGAGCTGCAGAACTGGGTGGCCGACACCGACCACCTGCTCTGCAGCTACTGCACGCCGACTGCGGACAAGAGCGTGCTGGATAGTAGGAGGGCCAAGCTGGAGGTAGGAACAGCACCTTGATCTGATCTGCACTGTGCAGATCAACATACCCCATACACATCTGACAATAGAATTTAATGTAATACAATATATATATATCACTCTGCGGCTCTCGTCACACGCCTCCTTCCTGTTTCAGGCCTTGCTCATGGCTTGGCAGGAGATGGAGATTCAGCTGAAGATGCTGATTGGCCGGGGTGAGTCGGTGCAGAAGAACACCTCCCCCGCGGGGATCCCCGCGCTCTGCAAGCAAGTCCAGGACCTCAAGGACTCCTGGGCCTCCCTGCTCTCTGCCTCCATCCAGTGCAAGAGGTTGGTGTGCAAAGGAGGAGCGGCCCAGTTAACACTCAGTGATAAACCCTCAACTCTCCCCCCACCTCCGAGTCTCAGCAATTAGCCAGCATAAACATAACGTAATGAATGGATGTTTGTTATAGTGCGATCTCAGGTGGTGTTTCCACTGTGGTGGTGCTGTTAAAAGTTCAGTGTGTGATATTACTGCTAATTAACTTTCAAACACATGGAATCGCTATGTTTCAAAGCCTTCTATATGAAAATGTATATAAAAATAGAAAATACTCCAACTATTCTTGGTGTTCCTTCGGCAGATCGTAATAAGTTGTAGGTATTAAGACTGTAGAAAATTGTAAATCTAGGGCACTGTGTGGTCTCAGAGCAGTCACACTCTGGTTGTGATGCCAATACAGTCAGCTAGAGGGCGCCCTCTCCCAGTGGACCAGCTACCAGGAGGATGTGCGTCAGTTTGTGGTCTGGATGGAGCGAGTGGAGGAGAGCCTGCGTACCACAGACAAGCAGTACTCCGAGATGAGGGACAAAACTGCCAACCTGGGAAAAGCCAAGGTCTATTTCATGTTTTATTGATTAAATGATGTATCCATCAATCCATCCATCCTCCATAACTGCATATCCACTACTGGATTTTTTTTGTAATTATAACCATATTTTTCTCTAGTAATTTAGATACCTTATATACCTCTGGATGTGCATTCTCCATTAGTATTAAGTATTTCCATTCTGAAACGTGAAAGCATTTTACTAGAAGTGAGTAAAGGAAGAATAAATGGTGTCTCTGTTGCCACTGCAGCTACTTTACGAGGAGGTGATGAGTCACGGGAGCCTCCTGGAGACCATCGGCAAAAAGGGCTCCGGCATGGCGGAGCACTACGTCACCAGGCTGGAGGTTCAGGAGCTGCAGGATCATTACGCTGCCATCAAGGAGAAATCCAAGGTAGCGGTAATGGCGCTTTCCAGAGAGGGACCGCAAATAAAACAGTTAATGCATCAACATGCTGGTTTTACTTCTGTTTGTGTTTGGATTACGTGTCGATTTTTATGTTTGGTCGGGAATTTGTGCCCTAATCACACCCTAATGTATGTTTCTCCTTCGATTTCCCCTTTCTTTGACCCAAGACTGCAGTGACAAAGGCAGAGGAACTGGTTCTGGCCCACCAAGAATACCAGCGAAGCCTGCAGGTGTTTGAAGAGTGGCTGGAACAGCAGCAGGAGACACTAGGTAGCTGTTCCCAGCTTGAGGGGGATGTGGAGAACCTGGAGAGCACTTTGCAGAAGCTGCAGGTCAGAACTTGGGTTTTGTTCCTTGGTTCCCAAAATACGAGTAATACAGAACACCATGTGTGTTACACTTTGTGATTCTGTATCTAGTTTACATTGAAGTCTGAAGTCAGCTGTTTTGGTTCATATGTACAAGGAGCTACAGGTGCAGTGCACAGAAGGCCAGGCCTTGCTGAACAGAGTTTTGGAGAGCCGGAAGCAGGTAATCCCCTGGGGGGTTCCCCAGACCGAAGACCGGGTTCTGGAGACCCAGCAACAGGAGTGGAAGGCATACCAGGGCCGGCTCACGGACTCCAGGGCTGAGCTCAACAGCGCTCTCGCCAAGCTTAGGCAGATAGAACAGAAGTTCCAGCACTTGGACAAGTGGCTGAAAGCCATGGAGGGCAAAGGTCAACTACGCAGCGGCCGACGGTCCGACAGGGAGACCAAGGAGGCCCAAATGCAGATTCTCAAGGTCTGGGCAAAAGAGAATCGCATGAAGCATGGTGTCATTTCCTTAGTATGCTATATCACCTGCTGCTTGACCTGAACTTTGAATCATCTTAGCTCTGATGATTCAGTTAACATTTATATGCTGTTGACGTAAGTCTACAGTACATTTATGCACAATGTGTACATGCTGTGTGGTGTGCTATGTAGGGCTGGCAGGAGGAGGCTCTGGTGTATCAGGAGGAGGTGGAGGGGCTCAGCATCCTGGCCCAACAGGTTCTGGAGGAGACGCATGTCAGCAGCCGCGTCAGCACCCGAGCCGCTCAGCTCACCTCTCGCTACCACGCCCTGTTCCTCCACCTGGCCGTAAGCAAACGTCTAAAGCCCCTTCAGATGTCGACGTATATTTTCTTTTCGCTCTTATTATGATGTCCCACGCTGCCAGATGAATCAGCCACAGTTTGTTTCGGGTTTCTCATATGGCCGATCTGTGACTGTCAGCACTGAGAAGTGTCCCTGTGCTGGGCAGGACACCATCAAGCAGCTGGAGGAGGAGACGTGCAGTATCGAGGAGGCCAGTAACGTCCTGAGGACCTTCTCTGACTGGCTCAGTACAGCGCAGGAGAACTTCACAAGCGTGGCTGTCAGCATCGGCGTGGTGGACCGTGTTGCCATGGAAAGAAAGATGAAAAAACTGGAGGTATATCTGTTGGACACTCATCATTGTTGTTGTTAAAGTTATTTCTTGTCCATATTGTGATGAAATTAACTTCCCATGGCTCAAAAAGGAATTTAGGAAGAATGTCTTTCGCTCTAAGAGAGCCTGCTACCACATTTTGTTGCGCACAAGAACAAGAGCAATAAACAACAACAAAGTTGGCTTTGAATTTCATGTATGAAACAGGCCCTTCAGAGTGACATGGAGCTGGGACACACCTACCTGAAGGCCACACGCGAGAAGACAGGGAGGGCCATGGAGTTCCTGGAGGAGGGGGAGGCAGAACAGCTGCGTGCGGACGTGGATGCCCAGTTGTCCAGGCTGGAGGGCCTGACAGGGATGCTGCGGGCGGAACACGGGGCGCTGGAGAAGAGCCTTCAGCTGTCTAAGGAGTTCCTGGATAAGTACAAGGGCCAGGCCCAGTGGCTGGAGGAGACGAAGGCCCTGCTGCACTCACCCGTGGAGCCCAAGATCGAGCTCTATGAGAAGAAGGCCCAGCTGGCCAAGTTCAAGGTGCTGCTTTGCTGATGGTCGTGCTGCTGTGTTTTTCTGCTGATCACTGCGGTAACAATGTCGAAAAAAATAGCACTGTGTGCTAGTTCCTCAGTCCTCAGTGGGTTTATGCCACGTTCCATTTTTCAAAGGGAACTGTGTCCAATTCTGTGTAAGGCTCATGATTCCCAAATAACACTCTACAGAGCATGAGAAGTCCTTGATCATGGCTAATAACATCCTTTCTGGGAGCTGGGAGGGAGCAAAAATGTGGACTGTCAGGCGGGGAGCTGGGAGGGAGCAAAAACATGGATGGTCTGTGCATCCCCAAGGACCGGGCTTGGAAACACTGATCTAAGCAATAAGAACAGTGAAAATATCTGTAATCAGTGTTCTCAATGGAAAGGGTGAATAGATTAGAAAGTCACATGATCAGGCGGTTTCGCATTTGTTTATTGCTGTGTTAATGTGATGGAAGAGGTTCCCTCAATCCACAACTGTGAGTTTGGGCTTGATGTTACCTCCTACCAGAAATAGGGACGGATTATAAGATTCTCTCTCATTGTCCTCGAACAGACCATCCAGCAGACCGTGGAGTCTCATGAATCAGCAGTCAGGTGTGTAATTGAGAAGGGTGAAGCTCTTCTCGAGAGTGTCCAGGACCCGGCCATTAGTGAGAAGATGGAGAAGCTGCAGATAGACTACCACAACCTATGCAATTCAGCCCAGGTAAGAGCTTGGTATGGAGGACAAGTGTTTCCGGGGCAAATGAAGGCTGTATTAAGACAGTGCTGGATTTCAGGCCCAGGTGGAGAGTCTGGCTGGACGGGTGAAGGAACATGAAGCCTATAACAGCCAGCTGCAGGAGGTGGAGAAGTGGCTGCTGCAGATGTCCAGCAGGCTGGTGAACTCTGACTCCATGCATTGCGGCAGCTTAGAGGAGGCAACTCAGCAACTGGCCAGACACAAGGTGACCTCCGAAGGAAAAGGCCGTTTACTGTTATGCAGCTTTGATCGGTGTTCACAGTAAAACTCAACTCAAGTCCCATCTCTCCTCTCACTGCCACCTGGCCATTTCTGATCATTGACTGTCATCTTGTCCGTTCTGTTACTACGGTTTGAGTTAGTCTGCTGTCTTTGTCATATTATTTGTGATTATGTTTTCTCCCAAGGGGGGTGGAGTTTGCAGTGGAGGGAGGGGTGTGAGGGGGCACAGCGTCCCCCGGTTTTTTGCATTTAATTGGCAAGAGCAGCATTGTCTATGTTCTGTGCTGGCACTTTGCCCCTTTGCATTAGAGGTTTGTTGGTACCCTATAGGCAGACAAAATAATAGGTTATGTGTGCATCAGATACGTGCGTTAACACATAGGGTAATTAAGATGCCCCCCCCCTCCCCCCAAATGCAAACATCAGACTCCGTGTATGTCTATCTCTTCCTTTTTTATTAGTCATTATTACTTTTTGTTTGTGTATTTCCTCTGTGAAGTGTTCTATATAAATTAAAGTTGTTGTTGTTGTTAATATTATAATTATATTATACTGCCAGCAGTGTACAGTACAATCTTTTGCCTTGTCTCGAATGCTTCTTTACACTGATATCTTACACGATGATATACATGATTGTTATTGTAAGATTTGTAATTTCTGGAATATTATTCTGCAATCTTTTCATAATTATTCAAGTTCTAAGCAGTGAATTAAGATTAAAACACTAATCATCATAATACGACAACTAAGTAAATACCCTTTAAAGCAGGACTGCTCAGTTCCAGTCCTGGGGGGCCAGTCTGTGACACACTTTGCAGATTTTCCTGCTCAGACACACCTACTAAACCTGACAATCAGCTGGGGAGCTGAAGAAGGTGTGTCTGAGCAGGGAAATTTGCAAACTGTGTTGCAAAAAGGCCCTCGAGGACTGGAATAGGGCAGCCCTGCTTAATGGAATCCATGCATGGCAATGAGTAAAGCTAATGCTATATCCTACATTTTGCAGTTGCTCAGATGGGCTTCTCTAAATCCACATCTTTACAGGCAATATTGGAGGAGATCACAGGCTTTGAGGAGCGCTTGGAGAGTCTGAAGGACAGAGGCGAAGACCTGGTTGCCAGCTGCGTGGAGCATCTTCAGTCCAAGGTCCAACAGCAGGTCCAGGCACACCAGCAGGGAACCCGAGACAGCTATGCTGCCATCTGCAGCACGTCCCAACGTGTAAGTGTCACCCTGTCACTATGGGCTATGCAGAGCTTCTCTCAATAACCAGCTGAAAAGGTTCACAGGCTACTTTGAGCAGTTCTGCTAATTCTCTCTATTAGTGTTTCCCAATCCGGTCCTCAGGGACTGACAGACACTTTTGACTTTCCACGTTTGAGCAAAAACAAGGGCCACCTATGGGTCCCTGCGGACCAGATTGGGAAGAGCTGCTCTCTATTGTCTGCTCCTACAGGTGTACCAGAGTCTTGACCGAGAGCTACAGAAACACGTAAGTCATCAGGACACACTGCAGCAGTGCCAGACGTGGCTCTGCACTGTCCAGAAGGAGCTACTACCAAAGACTCTACCCACTTTCAGCCTTCAGGAAGCTCTGAAGCAGGTGACCCAAAATGCCGCTGAATAAAGCCCTAGTTATCATCGTATTTGTTATTAATATTTCCTGAGATAGATGTAAATGTATTCGGGTTTATGGTAATTGTTGCTCATTGTTGCTAATTGTTACAAATCCTTCTGCTGATGGAGGCAAACCAGTTAAATGATGATAAATATCACATGTTCCTGGTTTGGCAGGGAACACTGTAATACAGGAATGAGCATGCATTCTCCGTGCTCCATATTATTAGATGTGTAGCTTTGAACATGGCTTTGTACCTGTACAGGTGAAGCACTTTCGAGCCCTGCAGGAACAGGCTAGCACGTATCTGGACTTGGTGTGTTCTGTGTGTGACCTGTCAGATGAAATGGTCAGACGGGCAGCAGCAGAAGTACAGCGGACCAAGCTAACGGTGACAATTCCAAGAGTCGGCCATTTTGCTTCACGTATCTCCGGTTCATATCGACCCTTTGCTCAGCACAGAAAGAAATATTTCTCTTTGTTTCTCGTAATTCAGATAGAGGAACGGATGCTGAGCTGTCAGGACCTGGCAGACGGTTGGAGGGACATCAAAGAGCAGAAAGCTGAGCTATCTGCTCACTTTCAAGACCTGGATCAACAGTTGCAGGGTTTCAGTCGAAGACCTGCAGAGCTGGAGATGAAGATTGCTCAGAACATGCTGACCCAGGCAAAGGTATGAGAAGGTCAATCTACAATTTTATGGATCAAACAAAACAGGTTATGGGTACTGAAGGTCTGCCCAACTGCCCTTCAACCATTATTTTAGTTTAAAAGCATATCACGTTGTATTGGAATGTCCTTCCCACTCCGGTTTTCTCTTATTGGACAGGAATTTAGCCAGCAGGTGCAGGCTAAGCAAAGCACCCTCACCCATATGATAGAGAGTGTTAACAGGCTAACGGAAGGCCAGGACTCCTCAGAGCACGCTGAGATCGGGCACCTTAACAACACATGGAGGGAGCTTTGCCAGCAGACCAACCAGATGCTCAACCAGATAGAGGAGGATCTACAGCGGATGAGGGACTATCACGACTGCGTCAGCGACGTAGAAGTATTGTTTGACCGGGTATCCAGAGAGTGGGACAATCTCGCCAGGTAGGGGCATAATGGGACATTTTCTCAAGGCTTTCTCGTATTTGGGATTCATCAAGAGCGTTGCTACATAGTAATTTAGTTGTGTTTTATATGTTATATGGTTACACTTTACATTAACTGCACCCTTATCATGCCATTATAATGCATATGTAGAACATTCAGTGAACCTTTATAATGCATTCATAATGCTTTCATAGAATATTCATAAGCAGCATGGAAGTATACCTTAACATCCTAACGTATCTTAGCAGCTTAACAACAACAAGCATTATAATTATATAATGTTTATTAATGTATATGTTTATTAATACGTTAAGATATACTTACTTGTTGCTTATGAATGTTTTACGAATGCATTATGAAGGTACACTGAATGTTCTTCGAATGCATTATGAAGGCATTATGAGGGTGCAGTCAATGTAAAGCGTTACCCATTATATTTTATTCAAACAACATTTTATTCCTGTTTCTGGTATTATTTTACTTAATAAGGAAGAGCATACATATTACCTCATTGGTTCTCAGTCCTGTTCCGCACCAGAATGTTTTCATTCCAACCCATACTTTTTCCAACCAGCCACAGTCATTATTAACCTTTTAAGGGTCATCTGAGTCTGATTCAGGCAGCGTTGGAATGAAAACATTCTGGCAGGGGATCCTTCAGGAACAGGATTGAGGATTACCATATTACTTGTACATATTACCGTATTACATCGTCAAACCTTCTACTTGCATTTTAGAACGGATGCAGAGAGCTCTTCTGAACACTTGGAAGCGCTGAAGAACCTCGCGGCCATCCTTGAAGACCAGAAAGGAACCCTCAACGACCTGAAAGAGCACAAGCACAAAGTGATTCATCGTTTGAACCTGGATGACAAAGAGCTGGTTAAGGAACAGATCGGCCACTTTGAGAACCGCTGGGCCCAACTTGAGAGTCTTATAGCAAAGAATATTGAGGACTCTACACGCACTCTAAAAGACATGAATCAGGTGGAGTTTAAACTGAGAGAGGTCAGAGAATGGGCGGAGGAGCAGCATCCAGCACTGTCCGAGGCCATGAAGATGAGCCCCCCACCAGAATTAGCTCAGAGCTTCCTTTTTGACCACCTCAGCATCTGTAGTGAGTTGGAGGCTAAGCAGCTGCTCTTGGCTCAGGCACTGACAGATGCAGACAGAGTGTTAGCCCACCTGGGTTTGTACGAAAGGCAGCAACTTCAGCAGCTAATCTCAGAAACACAAGTTGAGATGGAATCCCTGAGCATTAAGATGATCCAGAGGAGGAAGTACCTCAGCAAAGCTTTTACCGAACGAACGCAGTTCTTGTTGGCGGTGAATCAAGCTATTACTTGGGTTCAACAAAACGAGAAGAAGGCATTCGCTGATGAGTACACGGCACTTCTGCCCGATGATCTCAACAAACAACTCAGGATGTGTAAAGGCATTCAAAGTAGCTTGAAGGCTTATCAGAGTGAGCTCACCTCTCTCTGGTCCCAAGGGAGGGATTTGATGAAAGATGCCACAGAAGATGAAAAGGCAGAAATTTTGACAAAGTTGCAGGAGCTGCAGAACATTTTTGAGACAGCTCTTCAGAAGTGCTGTCAGAAGGTACAGGAGCAAGAGAAACTGTTGGTATCCAGGAAATATTTCAAGCTGGATCTGGAAAGAACATGTCAATGGTTAAAACAAGCAGATATTATTACTTTTCCGGAAATCAATTTAATGAATGGAGATGCCGAGCTCTACTCACAGCTTACAAAGTATGAGGACATATTAGATCAAGCTATGGAATATGAAAATCTCCTTCTAAATGTCCAAAGATCTGGTCAGGAGATACTGCCAACTCTCAATGAAGTGGACCACTGTTACCTTGATGAGAAGCTGAATACTCTCCCACAGCAGTATAACAGCATTTTGGCCCTGGCAAGAGACAAGCAAGAAAAAATTCAGCAGGCTATTGTCGCGCGGAAGGAATTTGCCACTTTTATTGACATAACATACAAAGCATTGAAAAGTATTGAGGAGCAATTCAACAATTTAGGTAGGCAGCCAGTTGGCCTAATGACTGAGGAGGTTATTAGTTTGCAAAGTGATTACAAAGATCTTCTTGAAGATCTGACTAATTTGGGTCCAGATATTGTGGATTTAAATCAGAAGAAGGAAGCTTTTCGCAGTACTGGTCAACCATGGCGACCCGATGAAATGATCCTAATTGTGAATCTTTGCAACAGCCTGAAGAGGCAAATTGAGCAAAAAATCGAATATTTAGATGATACTCTGGAATCATTTGAGGACCACAAAGCTATGGCTTTGCAACTTGACTCCGAGTTGAAGGCCACTAAGGAGCAGCTTGATAAGGTTAATGCAGAGACCCAGTCTGCTGAGGAGAGGCTCAAGAACTATCATGCCCTGGCTGGGAGTCTACAGGGAGCCACATCTCACCTCAAGAGGCTCATGGAACAGATGGACAACTTTGCCCCTCATGTAGACCAAGCTGCAAACCAGGTTGCCAAACAACAGGTGGTCTTATGGCAAGAGGAGCTACAGTCTTTACAATCAGCAGTGGCTGAGCTTATTATAGAATGTGAGAACAGGTACGTCCAGAGTAAAGACTTTCAGACAGAGGTGAGAAGGACCCTTGATTGGCTTCAGCAGGTCAGGGATGACCTGGGCTGTCCCGTTATTCTGGATGTCAAAATAGAGAGGGTGCAGGAAGAGATCAGGAAACAACAGATAGTACAGGAGGAGGTGCAGTCCAGGATTAGGATTGTGGCTGCTCTGAGCAGCAGGGAAAGACAGAAGTACACCAGTGCAAATGAACTGGTCCCTGCCCATGTGAGTACCAGCCTGGAGGAGATGGCGAAGTTGGAAGCAGACGTTCAACTAGCTCTGAACACCAAACAGGCAAGGTTTCCTCCTGTCCAATTATTCTATTAGTATTATTGTTTTTATGTATGTTTTTATTGATTTTTTTTCTTTTCACATTTTCTCTTACGTGAATATCTTGCATTCTTCCATAATCCTGGCTTCACATCTCCCTTGATCTCCAGATTACTCTTCAGCAAGCTCTTACCTTGTGTCAGAAGTACCACTCCAAAATGCAGTACGCCTGCGAGTGGCTGGAGGACGCCGTCGCCTTCCTGCAGCAGGCTAGCCTGGGTGTGGACGTGGAAAACTACGAGGAGTGCCTCAGACAGCAGAGCTGCATCATGGCCAGCGAGCAGGACTTCCTTGGGAGCCTGCAGGAGCTCGAGACGCTGCCCCCTCAGCTGGAGAACCTTGTCAACTCCAGCACTAAGGAGCAGCTCAGGCTGAGTGTGGAGTCGGCACAGCAGAGAGGTGTGGAAGTTCGAGATCAGCTGCAGTGCCACCAGGACGTCCTGCACAGGTACAAAAATGTCTCAAAGTCTTTCATCTGTTGTGCTTTTTTATACAGACAATGCCTTACTTTGTAACTGTACCTCGTTAAATCTACTTCCCTTTCTCGAAAGTTGTGTAGCTCAATGGAAATCGTACCAGGAATCAAGGCAGGCAGTGATTGAGATGATGAATGAGGCAGAGAAACAGCTCACAGAGTTTTCCACGGCCAAGGCATCTACATGTCACGAGGCAGAGGATAAGCTAAGGAACCATAAGGTAAAAAAGGATTATCGGTAATGAAAGACCTCTGGGGGTTTATGATGATCTTTGTCTAATAATCCCTTTTTCTGCAGGTCTTAGTGGATTTGGTCAATGGCTTCCATGAGAAGTTGACAGACTTAGAAGAGCAGGCATCCCAGTTGGAGATGGTTGGTAGCGATGGTAGCAAGGCCACCATTAGCCGGTCCATGACCATGGTGTGGCAGCGTTGGACCCGGCTACGTGGCGTGGCAAGGGCACAGGAGAGGGTGCTGGAAGACACTGCACTCAACTGGAGAAGTTTTAGGGAGAGGGTATGCCATCTGCAAACCATTCCAGATGTCGCGTTGCTGAAGGTTACTTTGGTAGCCTAGTAGCACCTATGCCCATATTTTACTGTATATGTCTGAACTGTGTTTATTATTGTCAGATGGAAAAGATGGCAGCTGCTTTGGAGGACTTGCAGAATCGGGCTCCGGAACAGTCTGTAGAAAAGGCCTCCAAGGCCACGCTACAAGCTCTGTTGGAATACAATGACTCCTTCAGCCAGGAAGTGGAGCACCAGCACTCTTCTCTCACCCTGCAGCGCCAATATGCCCTTAGTCTGTTCCGTGATTTGGAGGTGCCCATGCCTGCAGCCAGTCAAGACGACCTGCCTTGCCTACAGGAAATTACAGCAATGCAGGAGAGCTTTGAGAGGTACTGTGATGACATTCTTTACATGGTACAGTATAACTAGACAGATCCACATACTCAGTAGTATTAAGTACTGTCTCGGAGTACTTCCAGGATTTCCTGTAAGTAGTCAGAATTTTATTGGTTTGTGTTTGTTGTGCTTTGTGTTCATAGGCTCCTGCAGCAGGTACGCGATAGCCGAAGGCAAATCAGACAAGAGCTGAAGGAGAGAGAGGAAGTGGAGAGGGAGCTTAGCCAAGTGAAATTCTGGATCCAGAATACCCTGGATCTCCTGCTCAGCTCATCTAGAGACATGGACACACTGCTGCCGGAGCTTGAGGTACTTCATCTGTGGGGGACTGCTTTGTCTGTGCAGTGGCTCAAAGCCACCACTGTACTTTTGGTGTTGTATTTGCATAGCTGTTAGTTCAGTTCAGTCTCTCTGAATAGTATATCTCTCTTTTTGGGTGGTGGCTCTGGGGAACATTCACAGGTAGTACACACGGACCTGATTTCCCATCGTCAGAAAGTAGAGAAGATCGCTGAGCAGCAACAGAATAAGTACCTGGACCTGTACACGATTTTGCCCTCTGAGATCTCTATGCAGCTGGCTGAGGTGACACTGGCTCTGGGGTCTATTGAGGACCAGGTACAGAGACAATCGAACACCTTCATGCAATCAGAAAATTATGCATCGCTGAATAATATAACATAAAGAATGCATGTTTGCAAAAATATTAAAAGTCAGAAACGTTTCGATGCAATGGACAAAGCCTCCTTCACTAAAGTTTATTGTTCTGAGAAACAGAACCTATACTATATATCATAGGATTTTTCCAGATACCAGCCTACACAAGACCAGGAATGTCTGGCAAAAGTATTTTTTGCCTTTTATTTAAAAAATTGTCGATCAATGACTATGGGGTGAACTTATATTCATGGCCACCAATTTGGTTTCTGTGAATTTTTTAGGTCCATGCCAAAGAAAGAGAAATTCAACAAACAAGGGACATTCAAGAGGACTTCAGCTGTAGAATCCAGGATGTCTCTGAAAGGATGAATGTCATCTCCATGAAGCTGAAGGAGCGTGCTACTGATGTGGAACTGGCCAAAGAGGACGCCAGGGTGCGCTGCCAGCTTCACTATCTTTGTATCCATGATCATGAAGCATCATCTCTAGTAGTGATCACCTTTCTTGATTTTCAAAGTGTCATTATTATATGTTTTTATATTCATTCAGTGGCTGATTCATTGTGTAGACCCACCTACTCCCTGTAAGGCTTACTTTTGCCCCCAGAACTGCCTTACGGGTAGAAGAATTCAAACAAGTTTTCCTATACACTATTGTCCTATATCACTGTTCTACTGAGGTGTTACTTTTGTAAATGTGGCCCACCTGTTAGCTTTAATGAGCCCGATCGTTCTCTATGACCTTTAGACTATAGTGCTTGGAAATCTGAGGTAGTGGCTGATTCTGAGGTTCTGGAACCACTATGTATCATACCAACAATCATCATGATCAACATCTCAACAGGCATCAGGCATAAGTGAACTTCCTGCCTTAGGCTGTATGCATTCAGTTGTAGCCACATGGTTTGCTGTTTGGAGGAGAGCAAGGTTTCCAAAGTACATGAGTACATGAAATAACATGCTTTGAAAGAAATAACTGGAGATGTAAACCTCTTAGGGTCTGTATGAAGACCTGGAGATTTGTGGCCAGACCCTGTCCAATCTGAATGGTGCCATCCAGCAATTTGGAGAGCGGAACCCCCTTCTATCCAGACACCTTTGTGATGCCATCATGGAGTTGAGCGAGACTCACCATCACACGAGACGACTGGCGGAGACGCGAATCTCTCAGCTCAAGAACGTGAGACGCCAGATCTTGCTGCATTAAATTGCTGTCCGTTAAGAGGTAAAGTCATCAGAAAAACTATGTAACCATCCCGTGATCCCTTGTCTGTTCTTTGCGTGTTTACCAGGCTGGCACACATTTGGACGAGTTTAATGAAATGCTGGAGTGTATTGTGAGGTGGACAGACAAAGGCAAGAAACTCATGAAGAGCAGCATCGTCTGGGCGTCGGCCTCTCAGCTTCAGGACCAGATTAGGGTCTATGAGGTGGGTCAAGCGTAACATGTTTAGAGGTAAATGAATGCAAGATCAGAGAAGGTTATCACAACTGGGAGAATTTATATTCCCCATGTCATGTAATTTACAAATATATTCCCTATTGCTCATATCTTCTGAGATAATTGATGTGTGATCCCCACTTTCATTATGAAGAGCAATTAAAAATGTAAATCCCAAGTATGCCTCATCTCTTACCCGGCAGAGTGTTCTCCGAGAATCTTGGGAGCTCCAAGGAGACCTGGATGCCATGAAGGAGAAGACGGAGGTGCTGTCTGACGTGCTGCAGACGGAGGCCATGGACCAGCAGGTGTCAGAGCTGAGTCGTGAAACTGAGGAGCTGCAGCAGAGCATTAAAGCGCGGCTGCAAAGCCTCCAAGATGCAGCCAAGGTACTACAAGGATCTCCGATTATCTAACGCGGTGTTTCCCAACCCAGTCCTCAGGGAGCCACAGACGCTCCAGGTTTTTGCTCCCTCCCAGTTCCCTGCCAGACTGTGCACATTCTGCAAGTCTGTGGGTCCCCAAGGGCCTGATCTAACAGTCTGAAAGGAAATATATTATAAATATATTAAAAATCTAAATAAAATAAAACAACTGTCTGTTGAGTATGGGAAAAATCAGCTCTCTGTGAATCCTACAATGATTTGTCATCACCCAGATTTGATCCAGGGTCGGCAAAGCCTGCTGTTTAGCAGAAACTGTCTGTTGTTGAAGACAAATATTATTAGTAAATGCAAATCTTTTTTTCAATGGCTGTCTCTCCGTTTTTAAAGAAGTAGTATGTCTGTTTTTAAGTTTTTGTCTGTAAAACTGAAAATAGACTTAACACTGCACAATATGGTCCCTTAATAACATATTAGTTACTCAGTTACTACTCAAGCACAAATCGTGAACAAAAATAGTAGCGACTTGAGATAAAAGCTGCATTATGATTAATTAATGAACAAATATGAGATTCAGATTTTGTGTTATTCATTATTTGTTACTTCAGTAGTTACTAAAGGTTAATTTATGGCTTAATAGATATGGTAATTAATATAGCAACCAGGGGCAGATCGCATAATAACTAGCTTACAGCAAATGGTGAATGAACAGTAATAACTACGGTAGCTTTTAATCACTCATTTATTTGTAACTAAGACTTAGTTTGTGGTTTATTAATACATTAAGTTAGAGTTGGTTCATGATCTATTAAAAATATGATTATATATCATTTGTGCCCACTTAAGTGAATTGTGCAAACCAAATTTGTGGGTGGGCACCATTGCAAAACAACACACAGTACATAAAAATACCCATGTGTAGATATTCACGTTCTGTAAAATTTATGTTACTGTTGCACATTCAAACATGTCCAGCCAATCTTGTTGACTGCCACTGAGATGTCGAGGTATTGCGAATAACTGTAATGGCTCCAATACAGTATTGGTGAACATTAGAGCATGGATAAATGGGTAAAATTGAAACACTATAGTGAGAACAAGGTAAACGTATCTGCTTCCTCATAGGACATGGAGCGATTTGAGCGTGAGGTAAAGACGCTTCACGCAGCTCTTGAACAGGCCCAGGCGACGCTGACCTCTTCGAAATTTGCCCGTATGACCTTGAAGGAACATCTGGCCCAGAGACAGGTACTGTTTGTTTATTAGGCATGTTTGCTTCTGGAGAGTCCAGTGTGATCAAAGTGGGAGGCCAGTTCACCTGCTGAGGGTTTCTACTTTGGTCAGCTGGCTGGCATGAGAATTACATTTCAAGACAAGTCTGTGCACACTTTTGATGTAGATAATTTTATGTTATAAAGGAATAATATAGATTTGGCGTAAGATTTCTTGCGTGCGAGTGAGAGTCTGAAAGTGTGAGTGTCACGCCAGTTGCGTGCGAGCTGGCAACCCTGATATAGCATAGTGGCCTGGTGAATTTTTCTCGGACCCAAATAGACGCATCGCTTCCTGATCGCATGAGAAGCATCAAAAGCCTGACTCGCATTCCTCCCNCCCACCCTGACCCCCTTGTGTTTTCAGCGCCTGTTGAGCGAGATGGAGAACTTCAAGCAGCAGGTGCTTGCGGTGCAGGGGTGTCAGAGTGTGCTGCGTGTCCCAGAGGAAGTGGTCACCAGCCTGTCCATCTGCCGCACTGCCGTGAGCCTCCAGCAGGAAGCCAGCCGGCTGCAGCACACTGCAATTCAGCAGTGCAACATCCTGCAGGTGCAAATACCTCCCTGCCCTCTCAGTTTAATGTTATCTTTTATTCCAGAAACATCTGTTCTTCTAGTTCCAGCACAGTTGCTCTCGCATGCCATTCTTTGCCTCACGCGCACGTAGGCTACCAGTAATGCCTTGTAGGCTCACGAATACGTTGAAAACTGGCAAAATGCTTTTGGCCCTGGTGTGGAAGTTCAAGACTTGAATCTTAAACCTGTGTGAGGTTCTGCTTCTTTATTTAATGGTTCTACAGCATCGGGGAGCACTTTCAGGCAGTCACCAAGCATTTGCAAAGAAGAGGACGGCCTTCCGTCTCTTATACAAACTTACAATAAACAGACTTTCATGTCTCCACATGTTGGTGTCCATCTCCGAACTCGCCTTAGTCTTCCTGCAGAAAATTCCAGGAATCTCCTTGGACATACACAAGATAGGACATACATGTTATGGAATGTCATGAATCACAGGTTACGAGAGAATACAATTGCTTTACAAGAAAAATACAATGCTCTCCATCTTCTTAGGAGAATTTGTTCCCCACTCCCGAGTGGGGCCTGCGCCTTTATAACAGCGGAAGGCATTGATCCACCTCAGTTGCCTGAGCTGAAATTGCAGTTAATTGGCAAGACCATCATTGCAGTGTGCAGCAGCATTGCGTTTTAAGTGTCTGACCAGGCTAGATAACAGAGGATGTTAGGCACAGATTTAGCAGTTGTTTGTTGTGGTTTGTTGTTTGACCGCAGTTGTATTCCATCAAGGGTCAGTGAATCAATGGTGTAATGAGGTTATAATTGTGTTTTGTGCTGGCACTTTGCACCCTTGTGTAAGTGGTTTGTTGGGACCCTATAGGCAGCCAACATGAGATGCGATGCGACAGTGATGCTGCTACTGTAAGTAAGTTATGTGTGCATTAGATACGTGCGTTAATACATAGAGTAAGCAAGATGTGCCCCCCCCCCCAAGTGCCAACATCAAACTCCACCTTTACTTCATAATGTGCACATTCTTCATATCCTTCACTGCCATTACTTTTTAAACATAAGTTACTACTAATTCCTAAACATTCCAGGAGGCCGTGGTGCAGTACGAGCAGTATGAACAGGAGGTGAGGCACTTGCAGGGGCTGATGGAGGAAGCCCACCGCGTCATCCAGGACGAGCCCGTCTCCACCAGCAACATCCAGGAACTTCAAGCGCAGATACTCCACCATGAAGTAAATCACACATTCCCAGATACTCAGACCAGTATTTCGTGTTTTGCGGGGGTGGGGTGTCACTAAGCAGGCTAGGGCTCCCTGTGTATGTTTGGATGGTCATTGGTTTGAATCCCGTAGTTGACAGAGTGATGTCACCATTTGGCCCTGGGGTAAGACCCTTAGTCCCATATCTTCATGGAACTGGCTGACCTTGGCTTCTCAGATTTAAACTGCTTTTGATAAAAGTATCTTCTACATATATAAACATATGTATTCTACAGGAATATTTAAATGATGGACCTTGACAGACTTTGCATTTTCTAAGACTAGCCTATTTAGGGAGGAGATTAGTTTTCCATAAGTTTTCTGCTTCCAGATATTAAAGTTTGTCTGTTTAAATTTGATCAGTTCTCCAGGGCCTTGTAAATATATTACCCTTACTTTCTGTCCGGCTCATCGGGTCACATTGTTCATGTCTGCGGACTGCATGGGGTCTTGCTTTGACAGGAGCTGGCCCAGAGGATCAGAGGCTACCAAGAGCAGATAACATCCCTCAATTCCAAGTGCAAGATGCTGACGATGAAAGCAAAGCATGCGACCATGTTGCTCGCAGTTAACGAGACACCGGGGGAGAAACAAAGCGATTCGGATTCTGGAAGCCTCCGCAAAAGCTGTGACAGTGACGGTTCAGCTGTGACGGTACGACTGCCAGCCTGGATTCTGTTCCTTTGACACGGATCAAGCACATCTACAATCAGTAGATGTTGTGGTTTCCAGACAGATTACATCTAATTACCACACTGATCTTCTGCATTGTATCATATCCATGATTGCTTAAAACATAATCTATAATTTTGTAGTGGAAGCACTCGTGTTGTTTAATCTAACATGGTGTAATGGCACAGTCTTATGCAAAAATTATTTTTTCTCCAAGAACTGCAGTGGTCTAACAGATTAGTCCCGATGCTATATATGTCAGTTTCTTAGTGTTGTATCAGGGCAACAGATTGGCTCAGTGAGAAGCATTGATGCCTCACACCTCCAAAGCATAAGCAAAATAAGTGGCTACTTACTGCTTACAGCCACCAGGGGGCCCCCTATCTGATCAGCCTGTCAGATTGGGAAGTAAGATAACAAATGACAAGTTTGGCAATAAAATTTGTGGGCTAGCCCCAGCTGAAAGCTGATTGGCCCCTGGAGTACCCCTCCCCTGTTACTCACCAGCTCAGAGCATATATTGGATAATGATAACGTTGGCCCCTCTGTATGAATTATGGACCCTATTATGACTCCACCTTAAAAAAATCTGAGAATCAACCTGCCCCCCCCCCCCACCACAACGCAATTCAGGCTCACATATGAGTTTGGTGATCAACAGCTGCTCTGAACATAATGCAAGTCTGTAGCTATCAACCTGCCCCCCCCCCCACCACAACTCTGACCAAGATAAGCAGTTGCAAGATGGATGGATGGTCTGGCATCATTAACGTTACTAAAAAAAAACATTCTAACCATAATGTTACTTTTCTCTGTCTATGGTCATCTCTGACCCGGTCTGGCCCCTTGCTCTCTCGCTTCCTCCTGATGTCAGATGGGTTCTGCTGGCCATCACCCGCTACTTTCTCCAGTGACAGAGGAGTCAGGGGAGGAGGGGACCAGCAGTGAGATCTCCTCTCCATCTGCTAGTTACCCTCCATACATTGGTGGCGCCTTTAACCAGGTACAGCAAATAGGGAATCAGAAAGTCGAATAAGGAATTTAAGGTGGCGTTGTGTCGCTGTGCACAAATTCAGGAAGTTAATGATGTAGCTCAAATGTGACTTTTCTTTTTACTGTGCCTTGTGAATTTCTCTCCTTTGGTTGTTTCTCTTGCCTGGTTGATATCATAACTGGTTAATGGTTATTGCTGTGATTATCACTCTGATTGGAAGTGTCTGTTCTGGACATGAAATGAAAGATCTGATCATTTCACACACTGGCTGTGTAATTTCACACAAAGATGTGATTGACCTACCAAAACAAATGCAAGTCAAAGCCTTGAAAAATATTTTGCCTCCTCCAGAATGTAACTGTGATGCTGCAACAATCAGCATATCCTTCTACTGAACTTGATGCTAAATACACAGAAGACTGTGCAGAATGATAGGCTTGAGTGTGAGAGGGATTACCGTGTCATTGCCCCTATTATCCAAATGGAAATGGGCTAAATCAGACAGTGATTGGGCAGTGCACAATAATCATAAACCAATGGGAATCTGGAGAGCTTTTCTGTATATTTGAGGTGTGTGTTTATTATGAACACTTTATAGACTGCGCTGCGGAGAGGCCAGCTCATGAGGACGTCAGTCCAGGAGCTGTATGACCCAACCCTAGAGTCGGTCGCTGTTCCTGACCTGGACGACCTGCAACGCTCATGGGAGTCTCTGAAGAACGTGGTATGTGTCTAATGAAGGGGGCAAGACCACAGCTTACCTGAGGTTTCACATCATGCTGCAGTTAGTGATGCACCGATAAGGAAATTTCTGGCCGATACCGATAGCTAATTATTTCAAAAACTGACACCGATACCGATTGTGTGGGAGGTTCTGCTTAAGTAAATTTAAGGTACTCTCCACCCAAATAAATGTTAACATAAATTAATTACATTCCAAAAATATGAAAAAGTATTTATTTTTTGGTAAGAACACCAACTCTGGCCTACAACTACAGTTCTAGAGCATTAGTGATGGACAAAATGACGCTTCATCAACCATTTGCTGTATTTTCTGACCCCACTAGATGGAGCTCTCTGTTTAAAAAAGGGCACCCATGTGGCACCCAAGTTTAAGACAGTGCTGCTGTGTCTCTCCAGATCAGTCAGAAACAGAGGACTCTGTATGAAGCCCTGGAGAAGCAGCAGCGCTACCAGGATGCTCTCCAGACCATCTCTGCCAGGATGGAGAGCGTGGAAGCCCGACTGTGTGAGGCTGTGGAGGCGCACCTGAGCCCCAAAAGACAAATGGAGGAGCACAAGGTGAACGAAAAAAGCAAAGTTGTGGATACATGATCATATACTTGAAGGGTATGGTGGGGGGGGTCTCCCATCAAAAACTAACATGGAGTGGGATGGGGTTTGGGGACCCAGTTTCCAGGGAATTATGAATTGCTCAGGGAGTAGACAGTGATTTCCAGCAAAGGTATAATGTATGTGTATCTCGGTGGCTAAAATTCTAAAAGCTAAATTGTTAGAGTGGTGCATGGTGCAGCTGGAAAAAGAGTGACGATCCAAAAAAAAAAGAAAGAAAAAAAGTTGTTTAGTAACAAGAAATGAACACAAAGGGATAAACCACAAAATAAAATGACCACAAAGGGTCAAGAACTAAACCGGAGCAATAAGAACTAAAAAGAACCACAAAACTAATCATACTAGGGAACTGAGCAAACACAGAGCAGGACTAGGGAACAACCAAAGCTACAAACATCAACATAAGTCTAAACACGCACATCTAACAAAATGACTAAGTGAAGAATAGAATGAGAGAAGGCAATTAAATCCATATAGACAACAAGGATAACAAGGGTCAGATGTGGACCATAGCCAATCAGGACAGGCATGGGACAAGAAGAAACTGGTAAAATAAGTTACAATAAACAAGCACAAGAAACTAGGAAAGACAAAGATAAACAAAGACAAACACTACCAAAAGCTAATGATAAAATAAAACCCATTAAACAAAAGGTAATGCAGGTCTCAGGCCAGCCTCGAACCCATGAGTGGAGGGGTACTAGCTTTTGAGCCACTCACTTAACCCGTTGAGTCATGCAAAAACCATCTGTGGGTCCCCAATGACCCGATTGGTAAATACTGCCTTATACTATAACAAATTTACCTTTACATTTTTACTTGTTTGTTTTTAGACCCAGATGAGCACAATACTTTCACTTCAAGCTGAGATCGAAGGCCTGCAGGCTGGCTTCAGGGATGCACTGGGCACGGATGCAGTAGACGAGCTGGCGGCGCAGTCTAGCCTATCAGTGCTCGCCGAGAGACTGACCACCATCCGCACAAAGGCTTCTGGGAAACAAAAGCTTCTAGAGGTAATGCCCCAGATAGCATGGACCAACAGCTAGCTACATTTTTACATTTTTTTCTGTATTTCATAGTTATAGATAGCTCTGTTAATGAACTCGAGGATCCATGAAGAAATTGCTTAAAAATGCCTTAATGTTCATTTTTAGTGTAGATTGATGACAATGATGTTACTTGAAATTGGTATAGTATTAAAAAAAATTCTGATCACTAATAATTTAATTACTATAATAAGAAAATCACAAATCAGCTGTTGATGTTAATATATTGGAATAATAATTACTGTAAAATTAACAAAAAATGGGTCAGAACTTGTATTATTAAAACATGTATTATTTTATTAAAGATTCACCATAGACAGGGGCGTAGCCAGAAATTCTGGACCCCCTGACAAAATGTCTCCTTGGACCCCCTCACCCAGGTTTTTTGTGGAACTTTATGTATTCAAGGGCCCCTGTCAAGTGCTGGGCCCCCTGAATCTGTCAGGGTATCTACGCCCCCCAATGCCCACAACCATGGGTGTAGCGCAAACTGAATGTATTCACTGTAGTGCAGTGATTCCCAGTCCATCCTCGGGGACCCACAGACAGTCCATGTTTTTGTTCCCTCCCAGCTCCTGGGAGGTAGCAGAAATGTGGACTATCTGGCAGGGAGCTCGGAGAAAGCAGAAATGTGGACTGGCTGTGGGTCCTTGAGGACCGAATTGGGAAGCGCTGCTGTAGTGCCTTCATTGTCGTTGTGTCTTCACCCGCTACCCTGACTCCCGACCCAATAGGAGCGCCTGAGTGATCAGCTGGAGGAGCAGCGGCGCTTGCAGGCCCTGCAGTGTTGCCTCAGCGATGTCGGCGAGCTGGATCAGTGGCTCCGCAGCACCCGTGTGGCCTTCACCTCTGGCCCCCAGCCAGAACCAGGGACCGTGACTGGGGAGGTCCAGCTGGCTGCCTGCCAGGTGAAAAGTCAATCCTCGACAGGGATGTATGCAGGGGTGGGGCCACATGGTCACTGGTCCCAGCTGAATGATTATTGGTCCCCTCCCCTGTCACTCACTGATTCAAAACATATCATTGGCTAATGATAAGGTTGGACCCTCTGTAAATTTTGGTCTCTCTGATGCCCCTCTTCATTAAAAAAATCCTAGAATCATCCCTGCTTCCCTTGTAGGGATGGAGTTAACTATCAGAATTTCTCTTAAAATGTCAGACAAGGAAGATTTTCAGAAGATGCTTATTGAAATCTCTAAGACAAACTGACCCACCCATGAAGTATCTGAGATAAAGCTCTGCTGTGTGAGCGATAATGGCCGTCATATCCTGCAGGGTAGCAAGTCCATGCATGTTCCGATTGACCGTATGAAAGATCTGGAGATCAGCATCACAGCTGCTCTTTGTTAGAGCTGACCACCCTCCTTGTGTATCACCAGGGGGCGCTGCTGCAGATAGAGGAGAAGAAGGCGTCACTGGGGGAGCTATCTGTGCGGAGCGAGACCTTGTTACAGGAGAGAGGGGGGCAGACTGGTGCAGGTGAAGAGGCTCAGGAGCTGGCTGTCAGCCTTCAAACACTCAACGCCAACCTGCTGGAGCTCCAGGGCCTCCTGCAGGACAAGCAGGATGTCATCAAGGTGATTACTGGCTGCATTATACAATACTTTAAACCACTGTTTCCCAATCCGGTCCTCGGGGACCCACAGAAGATCCACGTTTTTGCTCCCTCCTGCCTGAGCATTTTGTCGTACTTGTACTGTACATATTCGGAGAGACCCTAAAAATGGTGGTGGACTGGAATTGCAGCTTTAGGAATGATTATCATGAATGATTAGAATAATTATCATGACTTTTTGAGAGTCTACATTATAAACAGGAAAGAAACTATATTCTCCTTATGTTCTGGTGAAATTTGACTTACCAGGGCTCTTTGGGGGGGACTGAGGATGTTGAGTCGGACTCCTCCCCCTTGAAGGGCAACAGTGTACAGGATTGGCTGGTTCAAGCTCGCACCACGCGCTCACTGCAGTACCAGGACAGCATCCAGAGGCAGAAGGTTCCTACTCTTTATATGCATATATATGTTGGTATAGACACTAAAGCAGTGTTTCCCAACCCGGTCCTTGGGGACCCATGCAGTCCAAGTTTTTGCTCCTTCCCAACATCCAGCCAATGAAAAACTCTTTGGGAGCTGGGAGAGAATAAAAACATAGACTGTCTGGGAGGGTCCCCAAGGATGGGGTTATGAAACTGTATACACTGTATATACTGTATACACATAAGACCATGACCATAAATATGTTAATTATCAAGTAAAATACATACTCATTAGACTAGATATATACTGGCAGTGTGCACTGTGTCAATCAGGAACTGGAAGAACAGCTGGAGGAGCAAAAGAAGCTGCTGCAGTCAGTGGCCACTCGAGGGGAGGAGCTTCTGACACAAAAGACCACACCCACCAGTGATAGGTACTCATACTTAGTATAGTATTGTAATATGGTTTTTCTTTGCTTTTTTAAAAAGTTTTTTTTTTCTTTCATTTTCCATGGTTATGTGCTTGTTGATGCCTCTCCTTCTGTATCGTAATTTTTTTGTACATTATATCATCTTTGAATAAAAAATAGCGCTTGGCATCAACATTAGACCAGCTGATCCTAATCCAAAAGTCATAGATGTGAACTAGATCATTTTTGGGCTGTGAACTTAGTTCAGAATTCAAAATTGTGAACTTTGAACATGAAATAGTTCATTTTAATCTGTGTGAGCTGAAATTTGAGCTAGTTCTTGTTGAATTTGGACTCGCACAACATTGGTTGTCCCATAAACGCAGACGCAGAAAGACCTCTTAAGATAAAATAAGTATTTACCAACAGGATGATGGAGATGGTAGGACTGGAGATGGACCTGGAGGGAGAGAGGCAGGTCAGTGTGGACCTGATGAGGCAGAAGTGGGAGAGTCTAAGCAAGCATTTCAGCACCAAGCTGCAGCTCCTACAGAAGACGCTGAGACAGGACCACAAGGAACCGGTACAAATCCAGGAGATACTACTGATGGAGAAGTTTTAATTCACATTTGACTTTAGGCACATGTCTTTAAGATTGTGGTTTCTGAGAATTATTACTACTGAAAATACTCTCTGTAGGTCTCACTGTCCTTAGGACTTTGACAGCTGATTTGTTATAATGCAGGTTTACACCAGACATACCAGAGTAACAACTTCCGGAGCGTCGTTCAAGGGAGAGACACAAGTTCAAGACCAGTCCTCGCTGAAGTTGTTATTTGAAGAAGTCAGTAATGCATTTGAAGATGTGTCTCTTCAGGTAGTCTTCTTGAGTATTAATGTCTTTAGAACAGAGGTCTCCAACTCCGGTCCTGGAGAGCTACTATCCAGTAGGTTTTCTGTCCCACTTGGTTTCTGATGAGTCACACCTGCTCCTGGTATTTACCTGAGAACAGGTGTGGCTCATCAGAAGCCGGGTATGATAGAAAACCTACTGGACGGTAGCTCTCCAGGACCGGAGTTGGAGACCCCCGCTTTAGAATGTGTAGTCTGCTCAAAGAGAATTTCTTGGACTATGTTGTTCTTCTGATTTGGTCTCATAGCCTGCCAGTGTAGCCAATCATGACCATCCTGTGGAGCAACAGCTCTACTCTGCTGTTTCGGTCACGTGCTCCTGGCTGGATGGAGTGGAAAGCAGTCTGTTCTCCAGTCCTGTTCTTCTCTCTGAAGATGCAGAGACTCAGCTCTTTAACCAGGAGGTAAATATTAACTAAATGGCTCCTTACCTTATGACGGCTTGAACCTTCTGCAGTTAAGTAATATGAACCTTTTGCTTCGCTTGTAGGCTCTGGAGTTAGACTTGAATGAAATCACAGAAAAAGTGGGCAGTTGCGTGCAACTTGTGGTGAGCTCCAAAGGGCAGTCTGATGAAAGCCAGGAATTGATGGAGGAAACACTAGATTCTCTGATGGTGAGGCTGAAGACTTTGGATTCTGTAGTCGTCCAGCGTTGTGATGATATGAGAACCAGATTACAGGAGCTCACTGCATACCAGGTAACATTTCATCACTCAGGCAACAGCATGTTTGAATGTTATGGGTAATAATTGCTTTGTAAATTGTGGCTGAACTTCTAATCCAGGTTCTTGAAAGCATTAAGTAACTAGAACCTTGGACCTTATTTGACACTTGCTTCTTGCCTACAGACAGAGCTGAAGCTGCTTTTCAAAGCTCTCACTGAGCACAAGTATCAGATCCTCCATGAACTAGCAGAGGTGCTCGACCAGCCAGCCTCCAGACAGGTGGAGGTAATTGCACAGTCCAACAAGAGGTCCATCCCATTCTTGTAGAAGTGCTTGAAATTGTGAACAACACTGGAGTTGACCGAGACAAGTAGGTATTTTTTTGCTTCCTTTATGTAGGCTATAGCCAGGGCAGAGGAGAACTTGAGGGAGTTTGAGCAGAAAATCACAGAGCTGAAATCCAGAGGGGATAGGCTACAGCCCAACCAGTTCTCTTCACAGGAGCTGCTAAAGCTGCAGGTATCTTCACCACATGCAGATTTTTGTATATTTATGCATAAACCAACCACTGCATTTGTGATGTTAATTTCATTTAAGTTTCTGGTTCTAGTTTTTGACTTTTTTGGTGCTTTTGGAGAATTTGCACTTCTGAAGGACTAAAATTCTGGTTTGTACTTTGCAGGATGCTTATGAAGAGCTGGTCTTGATCGTGGGATCACGGCGCAGTGGACTCAACCAGAACCTGGCTCTAAAGGGTCAGTATGAGCAAGCCCTTCAAGATCTGACAGACTTGGTGGACACAGCTCAGGACAAGATGGCTGCCGACCAGAAAATAATCGCAAACTCTGTAGAGGAAGTGGAAAGCCTGCTGGACAAGCATAAAGTAGGGTCTTGTACACATCCTGGAACACTGATTTTACTCATTCTCACTAGCCGACGTGTTCTAAATGGTCCTGTGGTCCTCTTCAGGAGTTTTTCCGGGGGCTGGAGTCTCACATGATCCTGACGGAGACGTTCTTCAGGAAAATCAGCAGCTTTGTCCTCCCTGCTGAGAAACAAGTTCTGGAAGACACTCTGGCTAGTTCTCAAGGCCTCCTGAAGCGAGCCCACAAAAGAGGAGTCGAACTGGAATATGTCCTGGAGGTAAAGGCCAAACTGGGGTTTGACATATAATGGATAAAACATACAGTCAGTAAAATGTCTTGTTTTTCTACTGTGGTTCATGCTCGCGTTCTTTTTCTGTCAGACATGGAGCCACCTGGAAAAAGACTATCAAGGTCTCCATCAACAGCTGGAGGCGGTAGAGTGCAGGATTCCTGCTGCATGTCTTGTGGAAGAGACAGAAGAGAGACTGGCTGAGAGGATTGAGCTCTACCAGGTATAGGCAGATACACACATTTAGTGTACCTGCGGCCTGCCAAGAGTATGTCTTCTTCATGCCAACATAGAAGTGAAAACAGGGGTTTCATCTTTGGGTCACAGTGCTGATAAATTTTATTGGTTTCTTGGATATTTATCTAGATAAAATCTATGGGTTTGTGCACATTAATTATTCCCTGGTATCTATAATGTCATGCTACTGTATGTGATAGTCACAATTATTTATTTATTGTTAGAGAATGCGGTCATTGTTCTATGTTAGTCAGACTAGAGCATAATGGTTTTAAGTTGCGTAATAGTGACGGAAATGATGTTATCTTAAGCCCTTTAAACATATCTTACTACCCAGTGTCTAAAAGCAACCCTGACGGAACACCAGCACAGACTCTGCCAGGTACTAGAAGATGGGAAGCGGTTACTGCTGAGCGTGTGCTGCCTGAACCTGGAAGTGAAACTCACCCAGCTCGGGGAGCACTGGCTCAGCCATTCCACCAAGGTCAACAAGGAGCTGAATCACCTGGATGCCGTCCTGAAGCACTGCGTCCGGTCAGTGACCTCTGGCTTTGGGAAGCGGACCGCGAGCTCAGCATGCCAGTATCCCAAAATCAATCGTAGTCATTCTCAGAGATTAAGTGCCTGATCACGGAACTCTGAACTTTAAAAAAATATATATGAATTGATACATTTAGTCGTGAGCAAGGGATTGGTGGATTGATTCAACACAAAGAACCACTAATTGTCAAGACATCTACACTTCTCACTTACAGTTATGCAGTTTCAGATACAGATAACAGAATTGCACAGTTGACCATAGTTTTTTTGGTCATATAACTCGGTTATGCATCTCTGCTTATCTCAGGTACCGGAGTGAGTCATCAGAGCTAAACCAGTGGCTGCGATCAGCTCTAGAACGCTTGGAGTTTTGGGCATCTCAGTCTGCAAGTGTCCCTCAGGATCTGAAGGACCATCTGCCGGCATTCTTGGTAAGTGATATCCTCGATCCTTGAGAACGTCTTTTTGTCCAGAGATGATAAAGGTCATGTTGACTTCAATGGACATTCCATGCAGGAGTTCTCCAAGGAAGTAGAGGCTAAGTCCTCCCTGAAGACTTCCGTGCTGAACGAAGGTGGCCAGCTGTTGCGGTTGAAGAAGACCGACATCACGGGCCTACGTGCGGAGCTGGTCCAGGTGGAGGCGCAGTGGGCTGAGCTGCTCACGCGCATCCCTGTGGTGCAAGAGAAACTCCACCAGGTACTGTACACTTTGATGGCTTCATCTACCCCAACAATGACTCATAAGAAGGTGCTTCACCCACATGCTTGGATGGCTTTGAGCTGCCGGCTATCTGTTAAACTTAGCTGCAATTGAAGAGCAAATTTCCCAGGCTCACTCAGGACATGGTATACGTTTTGTAGAAACTTTCTGTGGACTTAGGGAGTTTTGGAAATTTAACGTAAGTTATTTGTTGGATTACATGAGGACTGAGTGAGTTTTGGTTCCCTAGTATTCCCCATAATGTAACATATGATGAGGAAGATTGATATTAGGTCATTTGCTGTCTAATCTCAAAAACAACAAAAATGGAGTGAGTCTTAGAAATTTAAACTGATTATTTGGATGTGAAACTAGCCTGTTTGGTGATTTAAGTATTGATATGGGTCTAGGTAGAATGATATGTAGTTTCCGGTTTATTTTTATTTTTCTTGATAATATAAGATGGGGCAGTATTTTCTGGCAAATACTTTGATCCTGATAAAGTCTGCCTTAAGTGTGTGGAACTAAGCAACAACAATCAATACTATTTTCCCAGTTGCAAATGGAGAAGCTGGCATCTCAGCATACCATCATGGAGCTGATGGGTTGGATCACTTTGATGGAAAGAGTGATCCAGGAAGATGATGAGAAAATCGTGGGTATGGCTGGATCAGAGGCCGTCCAAAAATACCTACAGAAATACATGGTAAGTGCTATCAAAGTCTCGGTCTTTGCAGATGTACCCTAGACTACCTTAGAATAAAGTACCATGGCATGTCATAACAACCTTGAGGAGTTCTAACTAAGAGTGATCTATGATTGGATGATTGTAAATGTGATCACCTTCAGGGGTCGCTGTGCTTTGTCTTCCTACCAGTGCATCAAGATTGACGTGAACTGCAAGCAGCTGACGGTGGACTTTGTGAACCAATCAGTGTTACAGACGGGCAGTCAGGACGTGGAACACAAGCGCGGTGACAGGACTGACTTTGCAGAGAAATTGGGGACGATGAATCATCGGTGGCAGATTCTGCAAGGTCACATCAGTGAGAAGGTGGCAAAGAGTTTAATGAAATTAAATATTGTACCAGATGTTTGGTTTTTATAATTAAAAGAATACCTTGGTTCTGCTAAGAAAACATTGTTATTGGAGACTTGGTTAATTATGAAAAAGGTTTTACATTTCTCAAGTGACAGGGATCATTTGAGTTTTCTAGTAGGTCCGTTATGATTAAGGTCGGTTAGATGGCCCACCTGATGGTTTCTTGCGTCTTGGCAGATCGAGCTGTTGGAAGCTTTGCATGCATCTTGGCTGGAATACGAAGGAACCGTGGAGAACCTTAAGACTTGGTTTGCAGCTCAGGAGGAGAGGCTGAAGAAGAAGCACATAATTGAAGACTTGGCTTCAGTGCAGAATGCTCTCAAAGACTGCCAAGTAACCCCCCCCCCCTTTATTTTATTTATGATTATTGCATCTATTCTAAAAAGTCAGAAACTGAAAGACTGGACTGCAAGAAAAACATGCCATCCTTTTGTTTCCTGGCATCTTAGGAAATGGAAGAGATAGTGAAAGAGAAGGAGAAGGAACTGGAGAATATAGAGGAGAAAGGTTGTGCTCTAATCCATAAAAAGAACGAGGAAGTCTGCAGTGTTGTCATGGATACCCTCCAAGGTCTAAATCATTCATGGGCCAATCTGGACCATCTGGTAAGTTTGCCATTGTCAACCACATCTTCAAAAACGTCTTGCTTTGCCATTGATTGATGATATTTTTCCATTCCTAGATCGGGCAACTGAAACTGAGTTTGAAGTCTGTCCTGGAACAATGGAATGTGTATAAGACCGCTTCGGAGGAGATCAACAGCTACTTGATGGAGGGAAAGTACTCTGTGTCTCGATTCCGCCTTCTCACCGGCTCCCTGGAAGCCGTCAGTGTCCAGGTGGAGAATCTTCAGGTACTATGCAACTCGAGAGACTCTCCATCACACCCATGTCTTCTCACCTAGGAATGCCAACAAGTAGAACAAAACAAATGACATATTCAATCACGAGTGATTCCATCGTCAACAGATAAAGTGGGACATTATCTAATTTTTTTATTTTATCAGGGTTTGTCCACATTTGTTGAGTCTTGCATCCCCTTTTAGATATGGCCTTCTTATACCCAAACCATATAATGATGCTGCTACAGAACCATATAAATAAAATTTGTGACATGATTAATGACGAGCTTCACCTTTGTTTTCGTGGCAGAATCTACAGGCAGAGCTAGAGAGGAGGGAGGGCATCCTCACGAGGTTTGGGGCCGTGACCCACCAGCTCCTGAAAGAATGCCAGCCGTCAGTGGCCAACACGCTCAACAGCGCCCTCAAAGACGTCAACGCCAGGTGGGCGGGGTGCCACCGCGTCTCGCTCTGGGGACGCAAGCTAGCAGGACATACTGAAGCAATTAATGATTTAGATGTAGGACACAGTAGCAGTTTGCCCGGGAATGGAATCACGTTATTATTCATTTTCTTATAAACTTCACCATCTGCTTTCGCTGTGTTACTCTATTATCAAAAACTCTCCAAATACTGAAATAATTTAGCTAATTATTCGTAATGAAAGTTAATCACTGGGGTGTGGCTCAGTGGTCTAAGCCTCTGTGCCCTTGATCGGATGCTTGCCAGTTTGAGCCCAGGCTTTGGCGGAATAGTCACGTCTGTGAGCCCTTGAGCGAACACTGCTAAGATGAATGCCTTCGCTGCCAGGTGGACCGAGCTTCAGGGCGAGATCACCGAGCAGCTTAACATCAGCAAAGGGCTCCTGCTGCTATGGCGACGGTACCAGGAGCTGTACGAGCAGAGCGCCGACAGCGTGCAGCGGCTGGAGGAGTCTGCCGACCGGCTGCTCACGCCCGCCACCAGCAAGGACGTCGCCGACGAGGAGGTGTCCGGCTGGATCCAGGACTGCAACGTGAGTTCCAGTCTAGTGGGCTTTGTCATACCATCCATATAAGTATACAGGGACACACTGCAACACACTAACAACAGCAACAAACGGCGATTGACAGGGGGAGGAATTTCACAGTACTTAAAGCACAAATTTCTTAAAGTACACAGTACTTAAAGTACTTAAAGTTCGAGCTCAAGAACCAATGGCTTCCTTCTGGAGCAGATCGGCTAGGGATTTAGCTTGGATGTAAGGGTATTACTTTGGCTACTGAATTTTTATTTTTTAGGTTACAGTGTGTCATGTTTCTGACCCTGGAGCTATGTTTTCATTCAAGTAATCCATGCTATTATAATTATGCATATATGTTTAATATAGTCTCCTGAGATCCAGCAATTCAATTTTATTCTCTGTAGAGGACATGTTTTTCCTCCATCTCTACAATACTATACGTGCGACTCTGTTAAGTCCTGTTGTTCCTTAAAGGGGACAGTTAGGACTTTAAGATGACATCACATGTCATGTGGTGTGACCTTGCCAAGTTCCACTTCCTGTCAAATTATTATTTTACTCAGTATTTTAAAATTGTTCTGAACTGACTTCCTACATATATACTGTGTAATCATTTCTGCCCGGGCGATTTTTTGGCAACTGAAGGAGAGATTATGTATGAGTCAAAGGGATGTCTGCTTCTATATGTGAAGATTTTCTTGGGGACATTGCCGTATGTTTGTTTGGCACCAGGAGCTGTTGCAGGCCCAGAAGACCGTCCAGGGTTCCCTGCAGGTCCTGCATGAATTGGGGGAGCAGCTGAAACAACAGGTGGACAACTCAGCCACGGCGGCCATCCAGTCGGACCGGCTGTCCCTCACTCAGCGCTTGGCGGCGATGGAGCAGGGCCTCAGCAGACAGCAGGCCGTCCTGAAGGTAGGCCGCCTTCCGGCCTTAAGGTCGAGGCCTCACCTACACCCTGCAAGAGAGGAGAGAAGTCCTCAGAGGCAGTTTTTGGGTATCGATTGGCTTGTGTCTGTACACATCAGGCGGGAGTCCAGGACTACAAAAGCTTCAGCCACCAGCTGGACTCCTTGGAGAGCTGGATCGCAGAAGCTGAGGCCGTTCTGAAGGAAGCGGACCCAAACCGCACCCCCGAGATATCCACCGTCCAGGACCGCATGGAAGAGCTCAAGGTAAGCCATCAGCGTTGGCTTTGAAGTTTGTGGTGTGATTGTGGATTCCGCGGCACTCCAGGTGAGGATCTCCTGCCGTTACCCAGGGTCAGATGCTGAAGTTCAGCAGCATGGCTCCTGACCTGGAGAGGCTCAGTGAGCTGGGATACAGGCTGCCCCTCAACGACAAGGAGATTAAACGCATGCAGACCCTGAACAGGAGCTGGTCCATCTCCTCGGTCCAGACCACTGAGAGATTCAGGTACTTTTCTTTGTACAGTTCTTCTTCTGGTCATCAGTAGATCTGTGGTACTTCCCGCGGTTATATCCTGAAAGGACAGCCAGCTGGCTTAAGGTGGCACCAGAATCAGAACCATGTGACCCAGGGATGGGTGTAACAGGAAGGAATTTTATGGGAAGAGGGAAAGCAGAAGCCAGGCCTATATAATGAATGGAAATAAAGCAAATAAAGCCTGGGGCTGGTCACATGACTTGTCCCACATGATCCACGCAGAACATGCCTCCCTTTATAGTTAAACTTCCCAGCTTGTTCTTGCTCTGACCAGCTGTTCACTCCTCTCAACAGCAAGCTGCAAGCTTTCCTGCTGCAGCACCAGACCTTCCTGGAGAAGTGTGAAACATGGATGGAGTTCCTGGTGCAGACAGAGGAGAAGCTGGCCGTGGAGATATCTGGCAACTACCAGAGCCTGGTGGAGCAGCAGAGGGCCCATGAGGTGGGGAGCTTATTTCTGAAAACTCTGCAGGCCAACCACACCGTATAATAAAATCCAGGTCAGCTTGGATGGTACCAAGCTAAACAACACAGGTGTAGGCGGCCTTCTCAAAGTCGCTGGTGTGTCTGCGTTCCTCAGCTCTTCCAGGCAGAGATGTTCAGCCGCCAGCAGGTTCTCCACTCCATCATCAGTGACGGACAGCAGCTTCTGGAGCAGGGCCAGGTGGATGACAGGTAACACTCACCTTATGTGCGGCATTTGAGCGTCATGCAAACCTCAGCATCTAGTTAAAATAAACCGAACATGCATTTAGAATTGTTTTTGTAGCTGGTAAGAGATTCCACTTAGTCACGTGACATGACTTAATTAATTTCTACTGGTACAGGCAATACCCCGGTTAAGAACGTCTGACTTACAGACAACTCGTACTAAATACAATGGTTTGTAATAATAAAGGCAGGCACTTCTTTATGACGTTTCCAAAAAACATTGTGTGGCTTTAGACCGCGGTGCAGTACAGTACCGTATGTAATTACTTCAGAATCAGGATCAGATTTATTGGCCAAGCATGTTAAGTCACAAGGAATTTGCTTCCGGTGTCTCTCAAGTTAGACAGACAATATGCAAAGAATGAGCATATAATTTACAGACAATACACAATATACAAGCCATATACAGATTAAATACAAGCCATATACATAAAGTGCCAACAGCAATAATGAGCATACACCTTTATTACTAAAACTAATATTTAAATTATACCTTTATTATTATGCACATTTTGTCTAATATTGTGCATGAGTATGGTATGAGTACGGTATGAGTACAGTATGAGTACGGTATGAATGCAATATTCCTTAATTGCTGTTATATTAGGCACAAGAGATTTGTTGTGTTTGTGTGTCATACCACCTTGCCGTTTCCTCCATGGCCTTGTAGGGACGAGTTCAACCTGAAGTTGGCGCTGTTGAGTAACCAGTGGCAGGGCGTGGTGCGGAGGGCCCAGCAGCGTAGGGGCATCATCGACAGCCTGATCCGCCAGTGGCAGTGCTACAGGGACATGGCGGAGAAGCTGCGGAAGTGGCTGCTGGAGGCGGCGCGGCAGGCCGAGGTGCCCCGGGAGGGATCGCCGGTGCCGCTGCAGCAAGCCCGCGCCATTCTGGATGGGATCCTGGTACGTGGGCCGTGCGGCGGCTAAGACCTCCTCGCCCTCGCCGGCCCCATCCGCTTTCCTGTCACATGCTCAGTCCCACACCAATTGTCTGTTTTTCAACGTGAGGAATAGCTCACCGCATGCTGGCTTGTTCAGCTGCACTGTGCCTCATGCCTCCAAGTTAGGGGGGGTTTAATTCTGCCCCCTCTGTGTGCATATGGAGTTTGCATGTGGGTTTGGCCTGGGTACACTGGTGTCTACCTATAGTCCAGAGACATTGGTTTGGTGAAGCTGTGTCTCTTTGTTACTCTTATTTTGCTTGTGTGCCCTGCAATGGGCTAAAATCTCATCCTATACTGTGTGGAACTGGCTCCAGGTGATCCTTACTAGATAAGTGGTTAGAAAATTGATAACTAGATGGATGGGTGGATGGGTGGATGGATGGATAGATGGATGGGTGGGTGGGTGGATGGATGGGTGGATGGGTGGGTGGAAGGCTGGTCTTTCTATAAACACCTTGTTGTCATAGTAACTCTGATTATATTAAGCAGCTGCCTCTGCGTTGCTGTGACGACACTGGCCAGTTCTCCCTTTGTCTTCTGTCCAGGAGAATGTGACAGAGATGCCCTCTTTTGAAATAGCTTCCCAAGCTTGCTGTGTCGTTGCAGATGAAGGAGAAGGTCCTGCAGAGGCAGCAGGGCAGCTACATCCTGACGGTGGAGGCCGGCCGGCAGCTGCTGCTCTCGGCCGACAGCGGGGCCGAAGTCGCCCTGCAGGCGGAGCTCACGGAGATCCAGGAGCGCTGGAGGCGCACCAGCTCCCGGCTGGAGGAGCAGAAGAAGGAGCTGGCAGCCCTGCTGAAGGTACCCCGGTGACAGTGGCGCCATCTCCTGGCGGCCTAAAGGACAGTGGCGCCATCTCCTGGTGGCCTAAAGGACAGTGGCGCCATCTCCTGGCGGCCTAAAGGACAGTGGCGCCATCTCCTGGCAGCCTAAAGGACAGTGGCGCCATCTCCTGGCGTCCTTAAGGACAGTGGCGCCATCTCCTGGCGACCTAAAGGACAGTGGCGCCATCTCCTGGCGTCCTAAAGGACAGTGGCGCCATCTCCTGGCGTCCTTAAGGACAGTGGCGCCATCTCCTGGCGGCCTAAAGGAGGCCCCAGCAAAGCAAACACATCCTACCTGCTTACCTGAAACCTGCCAATTGAAGTTTGAAGTTTTCCATAACAGGAACTCATTTTTATATATATTTATATATATATTTTTTTATATAGCGCCTTTCTCAATAGAGCCATCCCAAGGCCCTTTATATGGATGTGTTATGATACAGTTTTTGAAAAGTTTTAGAAGATTATATTTGAAATATTTTTATAAATACAGAGAAAGGGTTACTGTATCATGCAGTTGTTCAGGCTATTTGAATCTTGATTTTCCTGATTTCAGTAGTTACTACACAGCAGACTCTGGTCCTCATTTAAATCACAATGCAATCTGGTCTGTGCTGTTGTTTTTATCCCCCGATTAGCAATTTTATTTGTCTAGGGGCGTAATGATTTACGATTCAAAAATTTGACGATATGCATTGTATTGGTTTGACAATGCACCGCGGCGCAGAATCATTTATTAATGTTAACACAAGAGGGCGCAGTAGCCATAATTTTTGCTTAGTCTGCAGAGTAAGGAAAAACACTGCAAACAAAAGAACAGCGTTTTTGTAGAGCACCTAAAAAAGAGCAAATAACTGCCAGATCTTAGTTTGTTGTTTTCAGTCTTATTTTGTTGAATATATAGTGAGTGTATCGAACCGTGAGCCCAAAACCGTCTTTTGAACTGAATCGTGAGTAGATGGTATTGTTACACCCCTGTAATTGTCAGAGATCCCCCCCCCCCCACCCCCAGGTCGGACACAGTGACTTACTATGCTGACGGAATTTGGCCCGCTGGGAAAAACAGCTGAGAACCCCTGTCCTATTTCATATGTTTCCTCATTAGGTTTATTTTGATTGATCTAAAACATTTATTTTTATCTGACAATAGGTCCAGCAGCTCCTGTTGTAACTTATATCGTGTTTTTGGTTACACTTAGCTTGACTTTATTTTATTCCCCACGGACCATTAGCGGCAGTAGGGCCCGTACGTGTTGCATGAACACCGTATGAGCGTACGCACCAACGCTGCTCCCCGTCTGCAGGACTGGGACGTCTGTGAGCGGGGCATTGGCGGCTCTCTGGAGAAGCTGCGCACCTTCAAGCGCAACCTGTCGAAGCCCCTTCCCAGCCTCCATGAGGAGCTGCGCTCAGAGCAGAGCCGCTGCAAGGTGAGCGCCTGTCGCTCTATGGCGCCCTCTGCTGTTCATTTTATATGTGCATTATATGAGCACAAACACATATACTATATATATGCTAGTAGTATGTAATATAATACCGTGATGGGTTGGCGGGCCATCCTGGGTTACTCCTAATATAATATATTTTATATAAATAGTATGGAACAGTATAGAATGCTTAAATGCAATAGCGTCTATGTATTCAAGATTTAAGAGAGTTTATAGTCATATGCACAGTAAACAGTCAGGTCCACAACATGTGTCATTCAAACAAATATCCAAGACAAATTCCATTTTAACGTCAGTCCTCAGTATTTTATCCATGCAGAGTTATGTTGATCTGAAACATTCTCCAGAAAGCATGGGCCGTACATAGGGAAACCATCTGAATCCGATGGCAGTCTAGACCTGCAGGATCCATTTTCCAATCATTTATAAACAGATTCATAATGCATTATAATGCATTCATAAAGAATTATAAACTGGGCTATAAATATTTATAAAAAGGCGTAGCACATTATAGCCATGTTTATTATGCATTATGAATGCATTATATTATACTTAATGCTTTTAACGACCAATATAATGCATTACAAAAGTATCTACAGTGCATTACAGATGGGAGCTTCATAAAGCATTCGTAATGCATAATAAACATGGTTATAATGTGTTATGCCTTTTTATAAATAGTTATAGCCATGTTTATAATGCTTTATGATTACATTATTATTTGTTGTGAATGTGTTTATTAAATTGCTAAAAATATGGCCTTAAGTGTCACCGAATTGTTCCACTTGCTGATAAAAGGGCCAAAGGTTTTTTTTTTATTGATGAACAGAAGATCACTAATTGGTGCGGATCCTGTTCAGTTGGAGTTTGCTGCCCAAATTACGGCCTGCAGTCCGTACCCCAGAAACCCATCCTGTCCTGTTGTGCTCGCAGGACTTGGAGAACACCCTCAATGGCTGGAAGGAAGACATGGCCCAGCTGACTGAGCTGCGGGAGTCACTCTCCAGCTACATCAGCGCCGACGACCTGTCCGTGTTGCAGGAGCGCATCGAGCTGCTGCAGCGGCAGTGGGGGGAGGTCTGCTACCAGGTAGGCCGCGCAGCCCCGGCACCATGCGGAAGTCACATGATGTCGTTTCTGTGTCTATCTGTATCTAACTATGGCAGGTGTGAAGTGCCAGGTGGGGGGGGGGGGGGTCGGTCATCCAGTTGCCTTGGTAACGGTTGGCCAGAGTGACGTCATTTGAGTGTGTAGATAGCAGAAAGTTTATAGAGGTGTGATTTATGATTATTGATGCCATGAAGAAATTCTTGTGCATAGAGCAGCAAGTACATAGAGTACAGGCGAAGACACATTTAGTACAAAGCAAACAAATGCAAACTCCACACACACGTAACCCAGGCGGACACTCGAACCCGGGTCCCAGAGGTGGGAGACAACTACTACTACTACTACTACTACTACTACTAATTAAAGTACTTATTATTATGTTGTTGTACCTTTTCTATTTGTATCCCGCTTTGGCACCTTCAGCCAATCATGTTTACGTTTTTGTGGCGCCAGGGCGGGGGACTGAGAAGGCCAGGTGTAAATAGCAAAATGGATGGACAGATGCTGTTTGCACCCGGGTGCAAACAGACACTGCAGATAAATAAATATTACGGAAGAAAATAAAAAAATCAGCAGATGGTAATATGCAATTTAATGTGCAATTCGAAAACAGGCAGCACTGGACTGTTCCTGTTACAAAGATGGGGGGTTTCCTGGCATGAAATAGCTGGGAGAGTGACATGCTGAGAGGAGCCGTTGTGATGTCTGATGGCAGCAGACAGGATGGGTCCCAAGTAGTGCTTCATAGCACAGTGTAGTAGAATGAGCCAGTGGCCCAAGGTGCTCCAACATAGCGCCCCCTGGAGCACATGGGCGGAACTGTGATGCTACAGTGGGGTGACGTATCTTCTCAGTGTGCCTCCACTGCTTTATTCAGCAAGGATGTCTCCCATTGGGCACATTTTAGGACACCTTTTTAGAGAACATTCAGTGTGAGGTGCCATGGAGAGGGGTCCTGCGCCGATGCTGCTCCCTGGCGTGACCACATCACCTGTGCTGTTGCCCCAGTTGTCCATGCGTAGGCAGCAGGTGAGCGAGAAGCTGAACGAGTGGGCCGTCTTCAGCAAGAAGAACCGCGAGCTGTGTGACTGGCTCACCCAGATGGAGAGCAAGGTCTCGCAAACCGGAGACATCAGCATCGAGGAGATGACGGAGAAGCTGCGGAAGGTATGGGCCACCCTGAGCAAATGAGGCCTTAGACCCAGACAAGCTCAGTCTGATTATGTCATTCATAGCAAGTATAATTAAGTTATAATTATATGCGTAATCTTTACACATATCAAGCAAACTAGACTCAAAGTTGTAGTACAAAGAAAGGTGTGTTTGCATATGTGAATATTACTTATTATCTTCCATTTAATAACCCATAATTTATGCTTAATTATTTTTAATAGGCTCCGCCCAGTTTTCATTCGCCAGACTTTAATTTGCATTGATTGTCTAGAGGTCACCTTTTGCCAATTTGTACAATCGAATTCAAACAAAGATTGTTAGGACTGAATGAGACAGACAGATATATACATACATACATACATCACTAACCCCAAAGGAAATTGTAGGAGTGAAACTAGAAGTCAGTATAGAGGCTCATAATTTGTACACATGGGATTATGTTTTTTTTTTTTTCATGCATTATTTATATTAGAGTTCGCTCTGTAGCACCCCCTGGAGGTCATGGCTGCCTCATGTCCCCCTCAGGATTACCAGGAGGAGATCGCCGCGGCTGGGGAGAACAAGCTGCACCTCCTGCAGATGGGCGAGCGGTTGGCCGCGCTCAGCCCCGAGGGCAAGGCCTCTGAGATCACGACCAAGCTGAGACGGATCTGTGATCGCTGGCAGAACCTGCTGGACCTCATCGGGGCCAGGTGAGTCTCCCATAATTCGTGTCACTGGTTCCGGGGCCTGTTTGCTGCCCCTTCGGTCTGTTACTCTGCATTAAGTGCCAGAAATATGTTCTCTTTTTTAAATTACCAGTATTATACGCATCAATGAATCAGTGAATTGGTTATTTAAAAACATAGCAGTAGTTCTCTGAATAAAATCATCCTATACCAATGGTCACCAACTGGCGGACTCTAGTTAATTTAATCCAAATCACATGATTGATCCCCCGCCCCTCTGAGTTGGCAATTTTTTTGGACACTACAGTATAGTTTTTAGACTGTATAATATATTTTTTTTTTTCCAAGAAGAGAATACATTTAAATGATAAATATTGAATTTTAAGACTTTTAGCTTTCAGATTTTATTACAGTGTTGTAGAATTATTGCGGTGGACTTTCAAACCTTTAAGTTGTGAACAGGCACTGCACATGTGACACCCAAAGTAGGCGTGTGTTAGCATAGCGTAGGAGGTAGTAAATGGCATTATAACATAGCCTGTTATGAAGAATAAGACAGGACAGAGTGCTTGTGTATAATTATGATGTGGGTAGTATGAGATGGTTGCTAATGCAGGGATGTGAGGATGTGATCCATGGTACAGGCCAGTTTCACGTAAGCGGTATTAGCGACGGGTCAGAGAACCTCATGGCGACCCTCACGCTATAAGCTCCGCCCCCAACGCACCACCGACAGGGTGAAAAAGCTGCGGGAGACTCTGGTGGCCGTGCAGCAGCTGGACAAGAACATGAACAGCCTGCGCTGCTGGCTGGCGCACATGGAGACGGAGCTGGCCCACCCCATCGTCTACGACGCCTGCACGTCCACCGAGATCCAGAAGAAGCTGGACCATCAGCAGGTAGGAGGTGCCTTTGCGGGACAAGCAAGATCCTGTGATTCCCTGCTCAGACTATGACATCAGGAAAAAATATATATATATATACGTATACACAGTGGATGTGACATAAATTATGTGTCACACTATCATATTTTATGACATGATAGTGTTACACAAATCGGTTTATAAAATCCTGTATCTGTTCATTTTCTTTTTTATGTCCTCCTGTGATCCAGGGGGAAAAAAAACATTTTTCATATTGATTAAAATGTTGATTTTCTTGGTCATTGCAGTATTTCATATGTATTGCTTAATCACTTCGAGGAATTTTACTACAATTTGTAAAAACAGACAAAATAGAGACAGATGCCTTACAAGCAGTTGTGTCCAGACTTTAAGTGAGAATCAATGTAAACTGTAGCACACTGAGGTTGTACAACGGGAAGAAGGTTTGGCAGTAAGGGAGCTGGTTTTGGATCTTCTCTGCCGACCAGGAGCTCCAGCGGGACGTCGAGAAGCACAGCACAGGCGTGGCCTCAGTGTTGAACCTGTGCGAGGTGCTGCTGCACGACTGCGATGCCTGTGCCACCGAGGCAGAGTGCGAGTCCATACAGCAGGCCACGCGCAACCTGGACCGCCGCTGGCGAGGCATCTGCGCCACCTCCATGGAGAGGAGGCTCCGGTAGGGAGGCGGGTCCAGGGTTGGGGGTTCGAATCCCCTCCGCATGCATATGAAGTTTGTGTGTTGTGTTTTCATCAGATACTCTGAAGTCCAGAACGTACTTTTAGCTGAACTAGTGCCCATAATGTGTGTGTCTATGTATACCCTGTGATAGCCTGGCATCCAGCCCAGGGTGACCCCTGCATTGGGCTGTAAACCTCTAATGATCCCGTATTGGATGGTTGAAAGATGGTTGGATTCTATTACTGTATAAATTACAGGAGAGTAGAGGTGGGTAAGTCCGGTCCAGAGGGTAAAAGTCCAAACCAAGATTTTGTTTCAGCAAACCAGTTGAGTATACTGGACTCTTACTTTCTGGACATGAACTACCCATCTCTGCTGGAGGGGTATGATATTCTGCTTTCACATTTATAAAATAAGGAAAAGAAAATTCATGAGGCACAATTTAATGTTTTTGTGACCAACGTACTGCAGTTTATGATGTAAAATGTGCGTATTTTCATTGGAGAGCTTTACCAAACCTATTAGCCATTAGATCGCAAACACTAACGTCCCACTTCTGTCCATCTTCCTAAAGATGGCTGTGATACATGCTTGCTGCCCCCGATTCTATGATTTCTCTGCCATCTTCTGCTTTTCTCCCTCATAGTGTGTTCCGTCAGTCATTTACGACCCCCCCCCCCTGTAGTTAATGCGAATCTGCCCCCCGCCGCAGAATCGAGGAGACGGGACGGCTGTGGCAGAAGTTCTTGGAGGACTTTGCGCGTTTTGAAAGCTGGCTGAAGGCCTCGGAGAAGACGGCCGCCCTGCCCAATTCCTCCGGGGTCCTCTACACCGCGGCCAAGGAGGAGCTTCTGAAGTATGAGGTTCGCAAGACCGTCTTTCCTGCCTTCTGCTGCAGATTAGCAAACGTGACACAGAGCTCGTCCCTGACTGAAGGCTTCACATGAATGCAGTGTTAATGCAGGACTGTTCTGATTTGACTTGAATTAATATTTGACCTTAGAATAACTCATATTATATTTTCCATGTTTGTCACTGATGTTTATATTTATGCTTAAATATATTTATCCTTGTGTTGATGAAGCTGTGATCTGTCTATATGTTTTCCAAGTCTTAACTTATTGCTTTTGCTCAATGACCAAATTCAAAGAAATAATTACACATCTAAAATTATAACTTAAATTGCGTGTTTGTGTGTGACAGACCTTTCAGCGGCATATCCATGAAAACCTTGCCCAACTGGAGCTGATCAACAAGCAGTACCGCCGGCTGGCGCGGGAGAACCGCACCGACTCGTCCTGCCGCCTGCGTGAGTTGGTGCACGAGGGGAACCGACGCTGGGACGAGCTGCAGAAGAGGGTGGCATCCATCCTGCGCCGACTCCGGGTATGTGCACGTGCCGTTACTAGTGATGGACAAAATGATGCCTCATGAATCATTTGCTATATCTTTTTATTCCAATAGATGATGCCCTTGGGTTGCTTTGTGACCTTTTTTTGAACAGACAGCACCATCTAGTGGAGTCAAAAAATACAGCATATGGTTCATGAAGCATCATTTTCTCCATCACATGCTGTTACTCAGTCATAGGAAACTTAAAGGAAAACATGAAATATAATGTAACTAATCAGTTTGATTAGTTTAATGATGTTTTTTACATCACTATTTAATGCAGCTATGTAAAACTTCTTTGTTTTTGGATTTGTCAAGTTGCATATCTAAGTTGCCTACACTAAAGTAGTATTAAAGATTATTTTATAAATGGCAAGCTAGAATATCAGTGACTACCCAGCAATAAAAATTGTTCTCTGAAATAAAGTGTCTAAATAACTTTACTGAAGATCAGCAAGAATAACTCTGGATATTCTGTTTGTGTCTTTCATTTGCTCTTGCTTTGTTTAAACTTGGTCCTGAATTATAGATGTTCTGGATATTTGTCTGTGTGTTTCTGTGTAAGTATCTTTTGCAAAAATCCCATAATGCATTTTTGTTCCTGGTAGCATTTTATTAGTCAGAGGGAGGAGTTTGAAGCAGCCAGGGACGGCATTTTGGTTTGGCTCACTGAGATGGACCTTCAGCTGACCAACGTGGAGCACTTCTCTGAGTGTGACACACAGGCCAAGATCAAGCAGCTGAGGGTAAGGCCTCACTTTCTGTGCCCACTACAGTTGGGCGTATACAGGGGCGGGGCCACCGGGGCACTGGCTCAAGCTGAAAATTGATTGGCCACTAACTGATTCAAAACATTTCATTGGCTAATGATAAGGTTGGCCTCCCAGTATGACTTATTTCCCATCTGATTGTCCCACCACCTTAAGACTGCCTCTGCACCCTCCTGTAGGCATTTCAGCAGGAGATCTCCATGAACACTGGCAAGACAGAGCGCATCTTCCGCCAGGGGGAGGCGCTCATCGAGAAGAGCGAGCCCCTGGATGCGACGGTCATCGAGGAGGAACTGGAGGAGCTGCAGAGATACTGCCAGGAGGTGTTCGGACGGGTGGAGCGGTATTACAGGAAGCTCATTCACCTGCCGGTAAACACATACGTCTTTCAGCGTCTCGTTTAATGAAAACTGCCAATTCAGTCCAACACTAATCGCAAATGCACGACAAGCTGAGGTACTTTGTATTGTTTGACTGCTATTTTTGCAGATTTTTACAGATTAAATAGGTTATAGAGTCCTATCAACAGCAATAAAATTTACAAGACATATACAACAAAAAATGTCGATATTTGTAAAAAGCCGATGATTACAAAAGTTTGTCGGCGTCAGGTTGTGTTTATCTAGACTTTTGCGTCGCTGGGTAGGTGGAGCATCATTCCATGTTAAGCTGCAGGTATCAGTGCTTTGGTGAGCAGTGCTGGTTCTGCCTCTCCGTGCCCTGCAGCTGCTTGCAGACGACCACGACATCTCTGACCGAGAGCTGGACCTGGACGACGGGGGCGACCTGTCCAGCCAGCCCTGGACAGACAGCATGCTGTCCCCGGTGCCGTCGTCCAGCCGCTCTGCCTCCATCCCGGTGCCCCTGCGGGCCGAGCGCTCGGGCCAGGACACTCCGGCCAGCGTCGACTCCATCCCCCTGGAGTGGGACCATGACTACGACCTGAGCCGCAGCCTGGAGGCGGCCGGGACCCAGGCGCCGGCGTCTGAGCCGGGGGTGCAGCTGCCGGAAGAGGACTTCGGCCTCCTGGGGGCCGCGTCGGGCCTGTCCAGTCAGTTTCCTCTGTCTTTCTGTCAAAAGACCTGCTGTGTTTCCTGCCAGGAAGTCCTTAGCCCAGTTCATGCTACCTTCTCTGCTGTGTCTGCAGAGCTGCCTCTAAGCCAGGGATTTTATCGTTAACGAAAGTTAATTATAAGAGGACATTTTCGTAAACTGAAATGAGATAAGATTCCAAAATCAAATTAAATACTAACAAATAAACAAAAACTATAAATATTGCTTCCGAAAGTAGATATATAAAAATATATAGAATAAAAATATAATAGTATAAATAATACATAGTATAAATAAGTAGAAATAGTATAAATAATAGTGTATTTTTTTATACTGTTTAGCTAAAGTAATAATTTGTTTATCTTTACCATTAATAATAGCTGGAATGTTTTGCTCATTTTGAGGACATTAGTACATAATATTCACTGTGTGTTCATGCAGGATTCTCTAAAGATCAGACACATGAAATCGCTCTACAACAATCAGCGTAAGCCTAGGAATTAAATTACTAAAGCTTACACTGAATCTCAAATAATATTTTATATCTTATATGAAAACTAAATAGAAATATATCTTTAAAATGAAAACTAATAAAACCACACCGAAAGCTAAATAAAAATAATTGGATTCAAATGAAAATTGAAAATAATGATAAAAGAAAAATTAAATAAAAAAACAAAGCTATAATAACACTGCTCTATGCAAAATTGAAATTGGGGCCCCTTGCCCCAACACACACAAACACATGCTGATCATATGGGGGGCCCCAGGTGGCCCCTGGGCCATAAACAGCCGCTTTGTTCGCTTATGCCCTTGGGCTGGCCCTCTGTGTGTCTGCTGTTAGTGAATATTCTAACACAGTTACACCTTTCCTGGGTGTAATGTTCCTCGGGTGAGCATAATCGAACCTTGCTCCTCCGGGCAGGTGAGGCCGGCTCCCTGGAGACGCACATCCGGAAGCTGGATAAGGCTCTGGACACCAGCCGCTTCCACCTGCAGCAGACGGAGAACATCATCCGGAGCCGAACGCCTACCGGCCCTGAGCTGGACACCATGTACATGGGCTATGTGAGTGTAGGATAGGCCATTGTTACAAACTTACTACAAACCTTCTTTGCCATTTGACATTAAATGGTCTTTAAATTGTCATGAAATGATCATCAAATGGGTTTTCATGTATGACCCAGAGACAGGGACTCGAATTTGTGACTCGGACTCGAGACGCACTCCAGTTGCTCTTAAATTGACTACCGATTCGACTTGCAACTCATTACATTTGGACTTAGACTCGACTCTGACTCGTTGATAGCGACTCTTGAACAATGGGAGTCTTTACGCATGCGAAGCATTGAGTGTACACCACTCCCCAAACCATAAAGGCGTTAAACACATCACAATGTTCAGCTATGCACAGGGCATGAAAAATGGAGCCGGAGAAGCGTGATGTCAGGTGATATCAACAAACAAACAGTTTTGTTAGTTTTGAAATCGACCTTAGAAATGTGCTTAGGTGTTTAGTATAAGACAGCTCACCACATATGTGTGTGTGTGTACAGTGCGCTATAACGCAGTGCACTGCACGTATGCTGCGTTGGGATTCCATGACCCAGTTCTCTGGGATTGGCCAACTGAGATGATGTCACTGTTGCTGAGGCAGTAACCATGGCAACCCTATGAACCGGCCCCACCTTCTTCCTCAGATGCGTCTCCTGGGTGAGTGCCGGAGTAGCATAGACACCGTTAAGAGGGTCGGGTTTGAGCTGAAGGAAGAGGGCGACAAACACTCTGGGCTTTTCAACCCCAACAGCGCTGAGACCCAGACTTCTGGTGAGTGACTTTTCAAAAGACGCTGTCAGGTGAAGACACACATGCCCCAACCCCTCCAGCTTGTTCCATTAATGATTAGGCATAAAAAAACATTACCAGTGAAGTAGAAATGATGTCCATCTTCAATACTGGTTACCCTAGGGCAGGGGGAACCACCACTGTAGTCTGTGCAGCGCACAGTGCAAACAGCCCATGGGTCAAATGAAGCTTCATGAACCGTTTGCTGTATTTTCTAACCCCACTAGATGGTGCTCTCTGTTCATAAAAGGGCTCAAAGCATGCCCCAAATCAAACCAAGAGCACTATCTAGAGGTCAAAATATACAGCAAATGATTCATGAAGCTTCATTTGCTCATCACTACGTATTTGTGCCTCAGGCGTGATCGAGCGCTGGGAAGTGATCCAGGCCCAAGCACTCAACAAGGAGCTGCGCATGAAGCAGAACCTGCAGCAGTGGCAGCAGTTCAAGTCAGACGTGGGCAATGTGTGGGCGTGGCTGAGCCGGGCGGCGGAGGAGCTGGAGCAGCTGCGTGGCCTGGACGTTGGCACGGACATCGACACCATCGAGCAGCGCATCAAGAAGTTCAAGGTGCGTGGGAGGTGGGGGAGCACTGTAGGGGGCACTGTAGGCCTGAAGCCACTGAACCCCGCAGGGTGAAGATTTGGGCATTTGAGACATGTCCCCACTATTACCGTGGGAGCACCATGTGTGTTTAGGGGGGCTGAGGGTTCCGGGTTGATTTGGTACCTACCAATAGTGGGGGGTGGGGGTGCACTGCAAAATTTACTAATCCTAACCCTAACCCTAACCCCCACTCTGCAAATTTTACTGAGAGCACCTTATCATAACATAAGATTATGCAAAATTCACAACAATTTATTGACCCTCCACCCTGCTGTGAGCCCCCCCCCCCCAATTTCCCCAAGGAAAAAACATGTTGGATTGCTGTACCCCCCTTGCAGGAGCTGCACAAGGCCCTGGACCAGCGCAAAGCCATCATCCTGTCCATCAACTTGTGCAGTGCCGAATTCCTGCAGTCGGATACGGATGAGGCCCTGGAGCTGCGGGGCCAGCTGAAGGAGATGAATGACCGGTGGGACCAGCTGGGTGCCTCACTGGAGGAGTGGCGAGGCCTGCTGCAGGATGCCCTCATGCAGTGCCAGGTAACAGCACCCCAGCCCCTCTGCAGGACGCCCTCATGCAGTGCCAGGTAACAGCACCCCGAGCCCCTCTGTAGGACGCCCTCAGGCAGTGCCAGGTAACAGCACCCCGAGCCCCTCTGCAGGACGCCCTCAGGCAGTGCCAGGTAACAGCACCCCAGCCCCTCTGCAAGACACCCTTATG